GTAAAGATGGGGTCTCACTCTTGCTCAGGCTGGTAGGTCTTATTTTAATAAAGCTGTACTAGCTTCCCTTTGGTAAGTGTATCTTTCATTGTGGTCCAGGTTTTCTAGGGTCTTGGCTTTATGAAGGGGTCTCAGTTATAGCTCTCAACCTTAAACTGGCCCAGTCCTGTGTTTTCTATTGAGGTGTGGATTTGAAAACCTGAGCCTCTTAGCCACTGGGGCAATATCTTTGTTCTCCACTGTCAGAGCTTACTGCTCTGCCTCTCAAAAGTATCTCTTTCATTTCTGAACCTTGAGAATTTTCTTTTCTTTATTTCATGTTCAGCTATGTGATAATTTTTCCCCCTAATTTATCTAGCAAGGGATAAGTGTGTAGCAGGGTAAAGAATGTGTTTTGGGGTGAAGGCCTGGGTAGCAGTGTTGAAAATCTCTGTTTTCCATGCAGTTTGCCATGTTACTGGAATGGAAATTTTCTGTTTCATACTTTAAATCATAAACTCTCAACCTTGGCTACATACTGGAATATGGAAAGCTTTAAAAATTATTGATGCCTGGGTCCACCACCAGAAATGTATTTAATTGGTCTGGAGTGAGGCATTGGCATTGAGGCTTTTAAAAGTTCCCCAGGTAATTCTAATGTGCAGCCAAGGCTGAGAACCACGACTTTGACTTTAGCAGTAACCAACTCTGTGATACACTGAGACTTAAACAGGCTTTGAAGAAAGTTGTGTTATTTTGAAGCTGAAACAGGTATTTTTAGTAGGTTTTGCTACTTCTCATATCTTTAAAGTTTAGTTGTTATTTCAGGTAGATTCACCTAATATGGCCTGGTGGATCAGATCAAATAATTTTCTTCCATTTCTACTATGTTTTCCCCTTGACCTCTAGGCATTAGAGATTTTGACTAGGATGAACAGGTTTCTGAATTAGATTTATACTTTTCTCTCTGTTTCTACCTACCCAAATATTTTTCCCATTAAAGAGGTTGGCTCTAACAGAAATGTTGGATATTTTAAGTCAATTTGTGATGCCTACATGTAGTGTATTTACAGTTTTGGTTTTGATTCATTGCTTCTCTTGAACTTTTTCAAGTTTTCCATAAACTGTGCCTATTGATGAATAATGAAAATTATGGGCAGAAACTTGTGTTTTGTATTAATGAGAAAGTCAAGCATGTCTATGATATTCCTTTTAGTTTTAGAAGGAATATGTAATTTGGGGGCAACAGTGACATGTGAGAAATGGCAATAAACAGTGAAAAACAAAACTCATTATTGCTATTTAAGAGTGGATAGAGGATTTAACTGTTGGGCTGCTGAGTTGCTTGATATTCTTTGTGGCAAAGTAAAAGATTATTTAACTGAGAACTACATTGATTTCCAGATATTTAGTTACAAATCTTTTCCTTGGAAGGTCAGTTGTCCTGTTTGAGGACAAAATGTGGTATTTTTGATTGTCTAGTGAGTCATGATACTCCTCTGCTTTTATTCCTAGAGACTATTCTACAGATTGTACTTTTGGTTTCAAAAAGGATACACGGATTGATTATTTGGGAAATTGATCAGGAAAAGTAGCCACTCAAAGTGTAGACTGTACTGAAAATGGATTACTGTCTCTTCAGTTATGAAAGACAAAAACTTATAAAACATTATTTGAATAAATAATACATATACATGGCCTACAAAATTCAAACAGCACAAAATTATGTATGGTAGAAAACAAATTTTCTCAATGTGACTTGTGCTTAAATTATGTTGATACTATGTACCCTTGATATAACTTGATGAAAATTGCACTTATATGATTTTCCCTCCAAAAACCCACAATACCAATCTAACCATGAGAAAAACAGCATCAAAATTCCAGTGGAGGGATATCTACACAATACTTGACTAGTATTCCTCAAAACTGTTATGGTTGTTAAAAATAAGGAAAGTCTGTAACCTAAACATTTGTACCCCTGTAATATGCTGAAATAAAAAATAAAAAACAAAACAAACAAAACCAAGCAAAGTCTGAAAAAATCACAACTAAGAGGAGCATAATGGCAACTGAATGTAATATGGTATCCTGGATGGTTTCCCAGGACAGAAAAAGTATGTTAGGTAAAAAGTGATGTAACATTTTACTCTGCCACAAAGAATATCAAGCAACTCAGCAGCCGGACAGTTAAATCCTCCATCCACTCTTTTTACCTAACTAGGGAAATCTGAATAAACTGTGGACTCTAGTTAATAATGATTTGTTAATACTGGTTCATTAATTGTAGGAAAGTACCATACTAATATAAGATGTTAATAATAGGGAAATTGAGTGTGAGTTGTATAGGAGGAGCTCCTCTGCACTAACTTCTCAATTTTTATGTAAATCTCAAACTCTCTAAAAATAAAGTATTAAAAAGAAATTCTCTTCTTTCCCTGAATCCCCAATATCCTGGTCCAAAGGAAATTGCTTCTTGCGATTTTCTTATGACTCATTTGAGAAAGATTTTATGCCAATATAAACATAATGCATCTATCTCTCTCTATCCTGCTTTTTTTTTTTTTAAAGAAAACACAAATGGCCAAATACTATATGTAGTATTCTTTTTTCACTTAAGAATACATTTGGAGATTGTTCCATATAAACATATATATTCATTAGTATTTTATGGTATGGATATATCACAGCTTAACTGATCTTTTGATGGATAGTTAGATTGTTTCCGTTTGTTGACTGCAGTGTGTTAACTTATAACCCTAACATTTGAAAGAGTTAGGAGTGGGGAGTGGGGGATGGGGCAGCAGGGAGAGAACAATCTATTATTTTTTTTAATGTTTATTTAACATATTTTATTTTTATTTTTTTAATATTCTACTTCTTTCCAGAAGAGGATTTGAGGCAAGTTGTCTCCTATGTGGTTATTTAAATCCATGTCATGAATATCTGGGAGATGCCTCTTGTTTACTAATTGTAATATTAAGTAAGTGCAGGTGATACAGTAATATATTAAGATATAGGCCTGGATCTATCTCATGATGAAATGAGGGAGACAGAGATAGAAATATGGTCAGATAATACACTATGCTAACACTAGTACAGCCTGCTGCAAAAACTCAAACTATGCTTTTTCCCCTATTTCGTTTTAGATGAATTCCGAAAAGGGAGTTGGAAGTTAGTGGTTAACTCAGTTGGATGATATTTGTCACCAAAGGAAGAAAATGTCCTCAATTCTGTCCTGTTTGTAGTGTCCAGAGTCAGAGACTTACTTTCATAGAGCAAAGCAGACTGGCCTCTGCGCTACTAAGTCAGCCTCTGAGAAAGTGACCCTATAAACTGCTTGGCTTCATAAGCAGTACAGAATACTCAGTAACATGATTGATTTCCTTATGCTTCAGTATATATTTAGGAAAGGCATCGTATGCTATGGTATAACGATGCTGCTGCACACAGTTGTGGAACACAGTTGTTCAGTGTTTGCCAAGGAATGGTTATATCTAAAGATAGAGAAAAAAAGGGATAGGGACAGGATGAAGTGTTGTGTTTTTCTAGCCTCAAGGCCTGCCTTTCTTTTGTTTATTTAATTATATTCATTTTAATTTACAAAATGACTATATACGTTTATTCCCATGAGGTATTAAAATACTGTTCCCCTTGACTTCAGTTCCACTCATCTCCACAGAAGGAACCATTTGTTGCTGTCCATTTGGTATACATGGGAAGGAATATGTGTATGTTTGTAACATTCATGGTGTCATATAAAATGCACTGTCCTCCCATTTCATTTGTTCGTTTAACAATGTGTGTTAGAGGGCATATCATGTCACAACTTGTTGAATGACAATTAACCTTTCTACTATTGTTGGCTATTTGTTACCAGTTTTTGTTTTTTATTACAAACAGTGCTGAAGTAGAAACTCCTTGTACATTCCTTGTACATTTATGAGAGTTTTTCTGGGTTATCAACAAATGGATTTGCTGCTTTTAGGATTTAGGTTTTTTTTTTTTTTTTTTTTGAGACAGAGTCTCGCTCTGTTGCCCAGGCTAGAGTGAGTGCCGTGGCATCAGCCTAGCTCACAGCAACCTCAAACTCCTGGGCTCCTGCCTCAGCCTCCCGAGTAGCTGGGACTACAGGCATGCGCCACCATGCCTGGCTAATTTTTGCTTTTTTGTAGAGACAGAGTCTTGCTATGTTGCCCAGGGTGGTTTCGAACTCCCAACCTCGAGCAACCCGCCCGCCTCGGCCTCCCAGAGTGCTAGGATTACAGGCGTCAGCCACCATGCCCGGCTGGATTTAGATATTTTTAATTTTGCCAGATTACTGACATGTTGTTGTATGAAGCAACAAAACAAGTTATAGATTTGAAAGGATAGTATAATATCATTTATGTTGGGAGAAAAGCCCAGGTATGTCAAGGTATATATTCTATTAATCAAACCGGTAACAGTTGAAAACTTTGGAGAGAGTACTAGAGTTGAGAATAGTGGTCAAAGGGACTTTGGCCTTTTTTGTGGTATTTAGGTTTTTATAACAAGAATATATTCATCTATTACTTGAGTCTTTATAAATAGTTAACAATAAAAATATAGAGATGTCTGAGTATTTTATATTAATCTTTTTGCTACAGACATAGAATAGCTCCTGTTTTCAACTGCATGCTAAATCGTTTAAAAAATTTGATCATTTATTAGGGTATAGAAAAAAAGTTTATTTCAAAAATAGAATTATGTGAGGGTCACATTCTGTGGCCACTGTTACCATAATCAAGAATATTTAATTACCTTGGATTTTCTGGATATTTTAGGAAGCTATACTTTATTGTAGCTTTCTGTTTAATGTTCAGATTCTAGTACAAGTGACTAAAGTTTTAAAAATTTTACTATTGTCCTTAATATCCTTTGATGTAATATATAACACTTATATATTGCTAGTGTTGTGTGAATATAGTAAATAATTGCTTAAATTATGTTACTTCAAAGGAATAGGTGTTTTTTGATGTGTAATTTTTTTTTTTTTAAAGAGATGTGAAAGCTGGAAATATTCTTCTTGGAGAAGATGGTTCAGTACAGATTGCAGGTAATGATTAGTATTTCTTTTTATTTTGATTTAATGGTCAGTAGAACCACATTACTTTTATGTTTTCTTAATCCTTATTTTCTCCTGTTCCTTGGACTGTCTCTATTCAAGCATCCTCTGTTGGCACGTCATAGGATGCTACTGACTGTCAAGATATCTTCTAGTACTCATCTTTCATTTGAGATCTTAGACCTTTTTCTGACCATTACTCATTACCTTCCATTTGTCCATCCTTACCCCTTTTAGTATCCTCTGCGATGGGTTCTCATAGCATTCTGCAGTTTCCTTTAAAGGAAAAATAGTCAAGAATACTTTACTGCGTTTAAGAATAAATATGCTATAGCGAGATTTTACAGAGCCTTCTTTCCTGGGAGAAATGATTTATTTGTTGATTAGGAAAAGGCATCTGAGAAGTAGCAATGCACTTTTGGCAGTTTCAGGGCTGAAAGGATAAGAGTTGGAGTCTGGGGCCTGCCAAAGGTGGCTATCCTGATGAAACACCCCCTCCTCCAGGCTAAGACTCCAGAACAACTATACCCAGGGATTGTCTAGCAAGTGGTTCATCTGAGAAGAACTCAGCTTGGTCCCAGACTATTAGAATAGACAGGTGTTTGGTTTTGGTAGGAGGAAGTTAATCACCCAAACCTTAAATTTTTTCTTCAACTTTAATAATACAAGCCATTTATGACAGACTCATAGCCAACATCATACTGAATGGGGAAAAATTGACAGCATTCCCACTTAGGACTGGAACCAGACAAGGTTGTCTTCTATCACTGCTTCTAGTCAACATAGTGCTGGGAGTCCTAACTAAAGCAATCAGACAAGAAAAGCAAACCAAGGGCATCCAAATGGAGGCAAAAGAGGTCAAACTATCTCTCTTTGCTGACAATATGATCTTATATCTAGAAAACCCCAAAGATTCTGCCATGAGACTACTGGAATTGATAAATTCAGCAAAGTCTCAGGAAAATCAGTGTACAGAAATCAGTAGCATTCCTGTGTGCCAACAACAGTCAAGCTGAGAACCAAATCAACAACTCAATACTTTTCACAATAGCAACAAAGAAAATAAAGTATCTAGGAATATATTTAAGAAGGTAGAAGACCTCTGCAGGGAGAACTGTGAAATACTGAGGAAGGAAATAGCAGAGGACATAAACAGGTGGAAAACCATATCATGTTCGTGGGTCAACAGAATCAACACTGTTAAAATGTCTGTTCTACCCAAAGTGATCTAGAGATTCAGTGCAATCCCTATTAAAATACAAACATCATTTTTCATAGATCTAGAAAAAATAATTCTATACTTTGTATGGAATCAGAGAAGACCCTGTATAGCAGAAGCAGTCTTAAGCAAAAAGAACAAATTGGGAGACATCAATTTATCAGATTTCAAGCTATTCTACAAAGCTATAGTAACTAAAACAGCATGGTACTGGCACAAGAACAGAGACATAGACCAATGGAACAGAACCGAGAACCTAGATATAAAACCATCCTCATATAGTCATCTAATCTTTGACAAAGCAGACAAAAACTTACACTGGGGAAAAGAATCCTTATTCAATAAATGGTGCCGGGAAAACTGGATAGCCACATGTAGAAGACTGAAACAGGATCCGCACCTTTTACCTCTCACAAAAATCAGCTCACAGTGGATAACAGACTTAAACCTAAGGCGTAGAAACTATAACAATTCTAGAAGAAAATGTTGTAAAAATTCTTCTAGACATTGGCCTAGGCAAAGAATTTATGAAGAAGACCCCAAAGGAAATCACAGCAACAACAAAAATAAACAAATGGGACTTGATCAAATTAAAAAGCTTCTGCACAGCCAAGGAAACTGTCATGAGAGCAAACAGATAACCTGCAGAATGGGAGAAAATATTCACATGCCACACATCTGATAAAGGGCTGATAACTAGAATCTATATAGAACTCATGAAAATCAGCAAGAAAAAATCAACCCTATCAAAAAGTGGGCAAAGGACATGAACAGAAACTTTTCAAAAGAAGATAGACTAATGGCCAACAATCAGATGTAGTGTATGTATACAATGGAGTTCTACTCAGCCACAAAAAACAACAGTGATCTAGCACCTCTTGTATTATCCTGGATAGAGTTGAAGCCCATTCTACTAAGTTAAATATCCCAAGAATGGAAAAACAAGCACCATATGTACTCACCATCAAATTTGTTTTAACTGATCAACACTTAAGTGACATATAGGAATAACATTCATCAGGTGTCGGGCAAATGGGCATGGGGAGGAGGAGATGGGTACATACATATATAATGAGTGCGGTGTACACCGTCTGGGGGATGGACACGCTTGAAGCTCTGACTCTGGTGGGCCAAGAGCAATATATGTATCCTAAACATTTGTACCCCATAATATGCTGACATAAAAAAGAAAAAAAAATATAATTTAGGCTAATATCTTCTTGCCCTTCAGGTAAGGAAATATTTTAACCAAGTGAGATAAAGCTCTAACATAAAAGATTGATAAAGTTAACTTATTTAAAATTAGCAACTTCTACTCATCAAAAGAGGAACAAATGGCTTATCACTATTAACAGAGTAAAAAGGCAGGCCGCAGAGTAGAGAAGGTGTTTGCAGCATAAATAATTGTGAAAGGGCTGAAATACAGGATGTATAAAGAACTCATTAAGAAAAAACAATAGATAAAAAAGTGGACAGAAGCCTGACATATTCACTTATGAAATGAAGACATCTAAACATAAATATAATAAAAGGTCAGGCCAGGTGCATTGACTCGTGCCTGTATTCCTAGTACTTTGGAAGGCTGAGGCAGAAGTATCACTTGAGGCCAGGAGTTCAAGATCCATGTAAGCAGGCTCACAGGACAGCAGGAATGTCCTGAAACCAAAAGGTGGTCAACAACAAGGAAGAGTGTGCCCATTATGGCTGGCACCCAGGGTCAAAGGAAGTGGGGAAGAGAAAATGAACCTAGAGAATTGGGGACAATGTATAGATTAGGTGGGGCCTTTGGCTTTGATATTGCAAAAGACAGAAAGCCACTGGAGTCTTGTGAACAGAAGTGGTATAACCTGAGTTACACATTAGAAGATTATTCTAGCCACACACTGTGGGGAGCATGGTGGCAGCACGAGAACGAGACAGGAGCCCACCACCAGAAGATGATGCTGTTTGCAACAGAGAGTTAGTAAGGCATGCCCATATTATTTTTACAGAGATACATAAATATCACATATAAAAAAGTGCACATATCCTAAATATATAGATTCATTAGTTTTTACCAACTAAACATTCAGAACCTGCCTTCCAGTCATTAGCCTCCCAGAGCAACCTCACTTGTAATAGCACAGGTTAGTCTTGTCTGTTTTTGTACTTTATGTAAATAAAAGCATAGAGTATATATTATAAAAAAAAAAAAAAAAAAAAGACCAGCTTGAGCAACGTGGTGAGACTCAGCCCTACAAAAAATTTTGAAAAAAGAAAAATTAGCAAGGCATGGTGGCTTGTACCTGTAGTCTCAGCTACTCGGGAAGCTCAGGATTGCTTGAGCCCAGGAGTTCAAGGTTGCAGTGAGCTATGATTGTGCCATTACACTCCAGCCTGAGTGACAGAACGAGACTCTGTCTCTTACAAAAAAAAAAAAAAAATTAAATAAAAGGGTTTAGCCTCCCTAGTAATTTATTAAATGCAAAGTAAAATCACTTTAAATTGATTGACCTGGCAGAAATATCTGACAGTACCAATTTTTGGTGTGAGTATAAAGCAAAGGGAAAGAAAAAAAGAAACTCATGTTCTGATGGTATGAGTATAAATTGATACAAACATTTTATTAAAGTTGAAGATATACATATTGTAAGACTTTGGCTCTTAGGTGTGTGATCTAGAGAAACTCATCCTTAATGTGTGCTACGGTGTGCATAATCATTACAAATTTGAGAAACCTATTGCCCTTAATTAGAATAGAGAAATACACTGTGGTTAATTTATATACTGTAATACTATATAGTGATGAAAATGAATAGACCTACAATTACATACAAAAGCATTAATCATAAAAATATAATATAGGGGATGAATCGGACCTGGGTTTCCTTATCTCACATGAATGGCACCATAGCCAGCCACCTGCATGAACTAGGAATTTGGGAACACTGTGCTGTCTTTCCTTCACTCATGTTCAGTCTATCACCAGGCCCTGCCAACACTGCCTCCTTAGCTCACTCTTTTATTTTTAGCCATTTTTTTTCTTGTGGTAAAATATACATAACATAAAATTTACCATTTTAACCATTTGTAAGTTTATGGTTCTGTAGCATTAAGTATATTGCTATTATGCAGCCATGACCACCATTTATCTCCATAACTATTTCATCTCTCGACTCAAACTCTGTCCCCATTAAAAAACAATTCCCCATTCCACTTCTTCCCCCAACCTAGGTGACTTCATTCATCTTTCTGTCTCTATGAATTTAACTACCCTAAGTATCTGGTAAGTGGAATCATACAATGTTGTTATTTTGTGATTGTCTTATTTCATTTTGTATGTCTTCAAGGTTCATCCATGTTGTAGCATGTGTCAGAATTTCATTACTTTTTAAGGCTGAATAATAATTACATTGTATGTAAATACCCATAAATAGAATTGATGCCTCATATGGTTATTCCGTGTTTAATTTTTTGAGGAATTGGCATATCATTTTTCACAGCATCTGCATCAATTTACAATCCCACCAGCAAGGCACAAGGGTTCCAGTTTCTCCATGTCCTCACCAAGACTTGTTAGTTTCTTTCTTTCTTTCTTTTCTTTTTTTGGTAGTAGCCATTCTAAGGGACGTGAATTGCTATCTAGCTTACTGTGGTTTTGATTTGCATTTCCCTAATGATTAGTGATGTTAAGCATCTTTTCATGTGCTTATTGGCCATTTGTATATCTTCTTTGGAGAAATGTCTACTCAAGTCCTTTGCCCATTATTGAATGGGATTTTTTGTTTTTGAATTATAAGTTCTTTATTATATATGCTGGATATCAATACCTTATTAGATGTATAATTTGTGAAATATTTTCTCCTACTCTGTGGGTTGTCTTTCACTCTGTTGATAGTGACCTTTGATGCATAAAAGTTTTCAATTTTGACGAGGTCCAGTTTATCTACTTTTTCTTTTATTGCCTGGAATTTGGTATCATATCTAAGATATCATTGCCAAATCCAATGTCATGAGCATTTTCCTGTACATTTTCTTTTAAGAGACTTATATTTTAGCACTTATAATTTTTTCATACCTTATTATAGACAGCATTTATTATAAAGGATTGTAATTGCCTGTTCTATATTAGAAGTTGCACAAAGGCAAGGACCTTGTTTTTCTTGATCATCCCTTTTGATCACATAGTAGGCACCAAAGTCCATCTTGTACTTTAGTTGAAATTGTGTTATCAAAGGAACTAAAATGATTTCTTACACATTTTAGTTACTATTTCTCTTTAGTTAGCAATTTAAAACAAAAGGCAAATGACATTTTTGCCACATGGTTTCTGTTCTTAACTTTGTGGTTGGATTATGTTTCATTAGCATTGTAGCTGTGCAGGTTATTTAATAGGAAAGTTTTGGTAAAGTGGGTATTCTCACATTCCTTAGATAAGTGTTTTAACTAGAGTATTCAGGGTTGTTAAGTCCTACTTGGAAACAAACAGAGGTATACCCGCTGCAGATCCAAAAAGTCTGGATTGTTATTAAATTCTGGATTTTTTTTTTTAAAGACGTGGTCTCACTCTGTTGCCTAGGCTGGAGTGCAGTGGCATGATCATAACTCACTGCAGCCTCAAACTCCTGGACTAAAGCGATCCTCCTGCCTCAGCCTCCCGAGTCTCTGGGATTACAGACGTGAACCACCACACCTAACTAAATTCTGGATTTGAAATTCTGGATATTTTAACTATTTGAAGGTTTTCAGTAGGTTTTAAGAAATTAAAGAATTTCATAATTGAACCTAACATACATATTATATATAACTTTATTGAGTATTATATTTGAGTATTTGAGGCATAGCTTTGTCCCACTAGTTAGTAATAAAAATGATAGTGCTTATTGAGTGCTTAATATATTACAGGGACTGGCTGGGAGTGGTGGCTCACACCTGTAATACTAGCACTCTGGGAGGCCAAGGAAGGAAGATCGCTTGAGGTCAGGAGTTCAAGACCAGCCTGAGCAAGAGCGAAACCCCATCTCTTCTAAAATTAGAAAGAAATTAGCTGGACAACTAAAAATATATAGAAAAAATTAGCCAGGCATGGTGGTGCATGCCTGTAGTCCCAGCTACTTGGGAGACTGAGGCAGAAGGATCGCTTAAGCCCAAGAGTTTGAGGTTGCTGTGAGCTAGGCTGATGCCACGACACTCTAGCACAGGCAACAGAGTGAGATACATACATATATATATATATACATATATATATATATATTTACAGGGACTGTTCTAAGTATATTATGAATTCATTTAATCCTTAAAAACAACTTTATTAGGTAGGTGCTATTATTGCCTACTTTTTATAGTTTAGCACAAATATCGAAAGTAACTGCCCAGGTTCAGCTAGGTAGTGGCAGAGCTGAATGCACCGAATTGTATAATACTTCCCCCCATTCACTTTCAGTAAATGTTTACTTTTTGTTATTGTTAATTTTACAAATGGAGCAACATTTTAAAGTTCCTAGATATTTGCCAGTTCACGAGCATCAAGAACCGTTAAAATTTTTTTTTCTTTTAAACTGTATTGTGTTGTCTCTCCCTTTAGTAGATGTGTATTTAAAAAATCAAAAAAGAAAAAATAAATAAACTGTATTGTGTAGACTTGCTGTTTTACACAGTGATGAGAAAATAATTACTTCAAGATGGCTGAATTTATAGACTTCTGAATCTGGAATTTTCAAGTTTGCAGTGCTAAAATTACCCTTTTTACACTGGACTTGTCCTTAATTTATTGTTTTCAAATATAGATCATTTTATGTACTGCGGAGTGTTCTGAAATACACATAAACCAAAGGGGAGTCAGGTAAGGTGTATAAAAATTGCATAAGCTGTATGAAAGACTCACTGTGTTACTTAATGTTCTTTCAGTTGCATCAGAAATTATCACTGGCTAACTTAACAAAGTAGGAACTTTTGAAATATACTGGGAAGTACACAGAATCATAGAATCAACTGAACAGCTAAGCCTCAAGATAGGCAAGCACCCAGTTGTGCTGTTGACCTTTAGGATGTGGCTGTTAGCATGACTCAGCTCCAGTGACCCTCAATTTTCTAGTCTTTCCATTCAAGCTCACATTTCCAGGAGACTGTGATTGGCCTAGCTTGGATTAAGGTGTCTAATCATGACTCAAATTAGCTATGCCCGGGGGTCAAGGTCAGGGAGCACAGACACGTGCTCAGGACTATTTATAGAGAAGAAAGAATTAGGGTGAGACAGGCTGTCCTCATCAGTGACTAGCATTTTGGCTCCAGTATTGTGGGATAAAAACTTTGTAGAGAAAATCTTGAGGCTTAGAGAGGTGAACTGAGTTTAGCAGTGTCACACATCTATTAAGAGGTAAAGTTAGGATATGAATTTAGTATTACTAACTTTAATTTATTTGGTTCCAGGTTCTTGATAACTTTTTGATTACGAAGCTGAAAAGATTAGATTTCATTCTGTAGGGTTTTTGAGCTGAAAGGGCCATGTCAAAGTGATAATTAAAAAATGAATGAACGAATCAGATAGTGATATGTAGAATGGATTGGAGCAATGAGGAAAATCTGAGGAGATGACCATTAGTGGGGGTAGAGAGGAATGGAGTGAGGGACCTGTTAAATTATGCCTTAATTTAGTCAAAAGTTCAGCAAAAATGAAACTGCCATGCTGTTTATCCTTATTTACATAAAAGATGTTGATTACATTGTATTATTATCTGTTTGTGATAGTTAATGTACTTTTAATACCTTGCTGTTGTATTCTATTTCAGACTTTGGGGTTAGTGCTTTTTTAGCAACTGGTGGTGATATTACCCGAAATAAAGTGAGAAAGACCTTTGTGGGCACCCCCTGCTGGATGGCACCTGAAGTTATGGAACAGGTACCGTGTTTTTGTCTTCTTAAAATGGTTTACAGTTTTATTATGAAACTGAAAATACTTAATAGTGTTTTCTTTTGTTTGGTATACTAGGTTAGCTTTGGGAAATATCTGTCTCTGCTTCTTGGTTAAGACTTTAGTCCACCTTTGAAAACAAAACAAAACAAAACAGAAACACTCTAAAACTTTACAAAGGACTTATGAAACTCAGGAATAATATAATTAAGATTGTTTTAATAATTTTATTAGTACAAATTAGATGACGTAATTTTTTACATGTAGTTTTACTGCTGTTTCTTGAAGAGCCAGTTGTCTCTACATCCCCATTTCCCATTTGCTCTTCACACAATTGTAGTTGGGTGTCACTCGTCACATCACTTTAACTCTGCCACTTCTCAAATCTAGTGCTTATTTCTTATTCCTTATCTTACTTGTCCTATTGCTGGTATTTGAAACTGTTGACTAGTGTAACTTTATCCACTTCCTTAGTGTAGTTCCCTCATTCTTCTGCTTGTTACACTGTATCTCTGACTTCTCCTCTGGCTCTCTTTCTACTCCTAAATGACACTGTTTCCCAGGACCTTTATCTTGGGCTCTTCTCTTCTCTGACTGCAAATCCTCACTAAATGTTCTCATCTGTGCTTCTAGTTATTAATGATTTCTAAACTATATCCAGTCCAGTCCTGTTTCCTAAGCCTCCAGATAATTTCTAGCTCTTGATGGATGCTTTCCATAAATGTCTTATAGGCATATCAAACTTAGTATGTTAAACACTCAATTCATTTCCCCCCCCCTTTTTTTTTTTGAGATGTGGTCTTGCTCTATTTCCTGGACTAGAGTGCAGTGGCATTATCATAGCTCACTGCAACCTCACACTCCTGGGCTCAAGTGATCCTCCTGCCTCAGCCTCCTGAGTAGCTGGGATTACAGGCATGTGCCACCATGCCTGACTAACTTTTCTGTTTTTTTGTTTGTTTGTTTTAACAACAGGATCTCACTGTGTTTGTTCAGGCTGGTCTTGAACTCCTGGCCTCAAGTGATCCTCCCACCTCAGCCTCCCAAAGTGCTAGGATAAAAGGCATTAGACACCATACCTGGCCTCTTACTCCGTTTTAATCACCTATGTTCATCCTGTTGGTGAGGGAAAGATTCCCACCCTACAATTATGGGGGTGGCTGAATACATAACACCTAATACTGAACAGATGAGATTAACAGCAGTTTATTAGTCACATATACACATATCCTGTAGAAGAAAGACACTGCATGCCTCTCAGAGACCCACAGGGTTGCACTGATGAGCAGAAGGAACAAAAAGGGACTTTGGTTAACATGCTTTATAGTACCAAGAAAGTGAGATGCTTCTTGGTTTCCTTAAGAGGATATGATTGGCTGGCAGGGAGCTGAAGCCTGCTGCTTGGGGAAAAGCAGGAACTATACCTATTCCATTTGATAAGGAGGATGGTTGGGCTAGGGGACATTATCCCTAGAGGCAGGGTGTGGGGAGGAGAATTTGTACTTTAGGTCATTAGAGGCCCTCATATTTTATCAGGTGGCAAGGCAGCATATACTATTGAGTCTTCATTTTAAGTCTTATATACTATCTTATATACCTATTTCTCCTCCTGTATTGCTCAGGATGGAAAATTAAAATTTATAACCATTTAATGTGGTGGTGACAGTGTAAAAGGAGAGAAATTTGGCATCGTACTCACACCAACAACTTAAAAAATATTCATACCCTTTGTAACATTTTTCATTATAGAAATTAAGGTGATAAAATAATACCATAATACAGATTCTTTGGAAAACAATTTACCCCCACTGTGAAACATTTTGTTCTAGTTCTTTCTAGTCTTTTAAAATAGATTATATACCTGTTTGTAAAAGTGTCAAAACTTATGAACAATTTTGTGTTCCTTTTTTCTTCATGTTTTATCATAAATTTTTTTTATATTTTCATAGAGAATTCAGGAACATTGCTTTTAATTGACTATATAGTTTAAGTGAATATGCCATACTTAACAATTTCCCTATTGTTCAGGCTGCCTCTTTTTTTTTTCTATTACCAAATATATTTAGCTTTTACCTACTTTAAATTATTTTATTGGTTTAACGCTTATGAACACTTGCATTGTTCTTGATACATATTAGAAGCCAACTTTTGAAAGTTCTTTGTTCTTGATACATATTAGAAGCCAACTTTTGAAAGTTCTTTTAGGCTGGTGAATATAATCATGTACATCTCTGTTCTTTGCAGGTCCGAGGTTATGATTTTAAAGCTGATATCTGGAGTTTTGGAATTACAGCTATTGAACTGGCTACAGGGGCAGCTCCTTATCATAAGTATCCACCAATGAAGGTGAGGCTCACATTCAAAATACTATTCTAGCCCAAGTCCTAATTCCTTTTCAGAGCCTTTCTTCATTTGCCATTCTTTCCATTTTTTTATTGTGGGAAAATACACTTAATATAAAATTTATCATCTTAACCATTTTTTTATTATTATTATTATTTTTTATTTTTTGAGACAGAGTCTCACTCTCTTGCCCAGGCTAGAGTGCCGTGGCATCAGCCTAACTCACAGCATCCTCAGACTCCTAGGCTCAAGCAATTCTACTGCCTCAGCCTCCTGAGTAGCCGGGACTACAGGCATGCGCCACCATGCCTGGCTAATTTTTTGTATATAGTTTTAGTTGTCCAGCTAATTTCTTTCTATTTTTAGTAGAGACAGGGTCTCACTCTTGCTCAGGCTGGTCTTGAACTCCTGAACTAAAATGATCCACCTGCCTTGGCCTCCCAGAGTGCTAGGATTATAGACATGAGCTACCATGCCAGGCCCATCTTAAGAATTTTTAAGTGTACGGTTCAGTGGTATTAAATACATTCATAATGTTGTGTAGCTATCGTCACCATCTATTAATATAGCCAAGCTTTTTTCATCTTCTAAAACTGAAACTCTGTACTCATTAAACAATAACTGTTGGTTCCTGCTTTCCTCAGCTCCTTGGCAATCACTATTCTACTTTCTGTCTGTATGATTTTGACTAAATACCTCATGTAAGTGGAATCATAAAGTATGTGTCTTTGTATGACTGGCTTGTTTCACTTATAATGATGCCCTCAAGATTCATATGAGGGCATGTTTTAGCATATTGCCAAAGTTCCTTCATGTTTAACACTGAATAATATTCCATTGTATGGATATACCACATTTTTTTATCCATACATTGGAGGACACTTGGGCTGCTTCCATGTTGTAGCCATTGTGAATAATACTATTATGAACTGTGGGTATACAGGTATTTCTTTGAAACTCTGCTTTCAATTCTTTTGGGTATATATGCAGAAGTGGAATTACTGGATCATATGATAATTGTATTTTTAACTTTTTAAGGAACAGCTATACTGTTTTCCACAACAGCTCTATCATTTTACATTCCCCCCAGCAATACACAAGGATTCCAGTTTCTCCTGGCAACACTTTTTTTTTTAAATTGGTGAAAGGTGGTATCTCATTATAGTTTTGATTTGCATTTTTCTAGTGATTAGTGATGTTGACCATCTTTTCATGTGCTTATTGGCCATGTACATGTACATGTCTTTGGAGAATTGTTTATTCACATCTTTTGCCCAGTTTTGGATATGATTGTGTTTTTGTTGTAGAGGTGTAAGAGTTCTCTCTATATATTGGATTTTAATCCCTTATCAGGTATATGATTACAAATATTTTGTATTTTGTGAGTTGCCTTTTTACTCTGTTGATAGTGTCTTTTGATACATAAAATTTTTAAACTTTCCTGAAGTCTAATTTAACTAATTTTACTCTTGTTGCCTCTGCCTTTAGTGTTATGTTTAGGAAATTGCCAGATCTAATATTGTGAAGCTCTTGCCTTATGTGTTCTTCTAAGAGCTTTATTGTTTTGGGTCTTACATTTAGGCCTTTGATCCATTTTGAGTTATTTTTGTATACATTGTTAGGTAAGAGTCCAACTTCATTGTTTTGCATGTGGATATCCTGCACCATTTGTTGGAATGGGTCTTTTACCCATTGGATGATCTTGGAAGCCTTGTCAAAAATCATTTGACCAGGGTCAAATGTGTGAGGGTTTATTTATGGGCTCTCTTTTACTAAGTTTCTAAATAAGGAAGTTTTGGTCCTCTAGCTTTGTTCTTTGTTTTCAAGATTGTTTTGGTTATTCAGTGTCCATTGAGATTCCATGTGGATTTTAGGATGGACTTTTCTACTTCTGTCAGTGGGATTTTGATGGAGATTGCTTTGAATCTGTAGATGGCTTTGGGTAGTATTGACATTTTAACCATATTAAACCTTCCAGTTCACAAACATGGTACAGTATGTGTTTCCATTTGTTTATGCTTTTTAAATTTCTTTCAGTAATTTTTAGCTTTCAGTGTACATATCTTTCACTTCTTTGGTAAATTCCTAAGTATTTTGTCCTTTTTGATGTTAATGTAAATGGAGTTGTTTTTGTAATTTCCTTTTCAGTTTGTTCCTTTTTAGTGTATAGAAATATAACTGATTTTTGTGTGTTGACTTTGTATCCTGCTACTTTGTTGAATTTATTTATAAGTTTTAATATTTTTTGTGTGTCGAATCATTAGGATTATCTCCATATAAAATCATATCAACTGCAAAGAGAGATAATTTTATTTCTTCTTTTCTGATTTGGTTGCTTAATTCTAATTTGGATGCTTTTTCTTGCTTAATTATTCTGGCTAGAATTTCCAGTACTATGTTGAATAGAAGTGGTAAAATGAGAATCCTTGCCTTGTTTCTGATCTTAGAGGAAAAGCTGTCAGTTTTTCACTATTAAGTATGTTGCTGTGGATTTTTCTCATATGCCTTTATTATATTAAGATAGTTTCCTTGTATTCCTAGCTTATTGAACCTTTTTATTGTCAAATGGTATTGAATTGTCAAATGCTTTTTTCTACCTCTTTTGAGATAATCATGTAGGGTTTTTCCCTTCATTCTGTTAATGTGGGGTATTACATTTGATTAATTTTTGTATTTTGGACTATCCTTGTATTCCAGGAATCAATCCCACTTGGTCATGATGTATAATCCTTTTAATATGCTGTTTAATTTGGTTTGCTAATGTTTTCTTGAGGATTTTAGCATCAATATTCTTAAGGGATATTGGTCTATAGCTGCTTTCTTTTTTTGTGGTATCTTTTTGTCTGGCTTTGGTATCAGGGTAATGCTGGTCTAATAGATTTAATAGCCAATGAAATGGCTTAATTTTTAAAAGGTGGTGGTGAGTAGGAAAGGGTGAGGTTTACTTTTCCTCCATAGTAGGCTGTTTCTCTTGCAGTTATAGCCAGACATATACCTGTTAAATTATTTGCTCAAAATGAGAAATACTGCCAGCCTTACTAATTCCATTTCAGTAAATATAAATTGAATCAGAAGAGAAAGTAGTAAGTCTAATCATTGCCACCTTTTGTTTTTAGTTTTGACTTTGTATTTACAAAAATGACATGTGCTTTTATTAAAAAATCCAACAATATAAGAAAACACAAATCACCCAAACCCCACCACATAAATATGACCTCCATTCCTTATTTCTCTATGCATCTAGTTAGTATGTTGTCATGGAAGTCAGGAAGGAAGAGATTTTGGATGGACAGTAATCAAGATTGTCAACTGCTGCAAGGAAGACAGGAAGAATGTGGCCTGAAAAAATACATAGCTTTGTTTACTAGGACATCAGTGATGGAAATATTTGAAAAGTTCTAGGAAGAGAAGGCCAGATTGCAAGGGGTCAAGGAAAAACAGTGCTATGAATAGGTAAAGTCAGCAAGGTCGTACTTTTAATTTTCCTATGGTTTTATTTTAACAGTAGTTTGGGCAATATAAGAATTTGGGAAGGGGACATGAAGAAACAAAGGATTCTAACTAAAGAACATAGCAAAGCTGGTACAGTGGGCCCTTGTGGATGAGTCTTCTGGGAAGCCAACCATCTATAGCATTATTATTTATGTGGAAGACACATAAATAATTCTGAGTTTTAAACAACTGATCTAGATGTGAACTTTTAGAAAATAAAATCTATTTGTATGCATGGGAGGGGTTTTACTTATATTAAAAATCTTTGGCCGGGCGTGGTGGCTCACGCCTGTAATCCTAGCACTTTGGGAGGCCGAGGCGGGCGGATTGCTCAAGATCAGGAGTTCGAAACCAGCCTGAGCGAGACCCCGTCTCTACCAAAAATAGAAAGAAATTAATTGACCAACTAAAAATATATATACAAAAAATTAGCCGGGCCTGGTGGCGCATGCCTGTAGTCCCAGCTACTCAGGAGGCTGAGGCAGTAGGATCGCTGAGCCCCGGAGTTTGAGGTTGCTGTGAGCCAGGCTGACGCCATGGCACTCACTCTAGCCTGGGCAACAAAGTGAGACTCTGTCTCAAAAAAAAAAAAATAAATAAATAAAAATCTTGACCACAATAGTTAGTTAAACTGCTGAGTCATCAAGTTTATACTATATTGAAAATTCTTACAGGTGTTAATGCTAACACTGCAAAATGATCCTCCTTCTTTGGAAACTGGTGTTCAAGATAAAGAAATGCTGAAAAAATATGGAAAATCATTTAGAAAAATGATTTCATTGTGCCTTCAGAAAGATCCAGAAAAAAGGTAAAATATGAAAGTTTACTTTTCTCTCCATCTAATATGTAAACCAGTGTGGGAAGGCTAAGAATCACATATGTGTATGCACAGGGAATTATTTGTACATATTCAAAATATAAACTTTTAAAAAAGTACACAGAGACCATTACACTAGATTGGAAATAGGAATTGATTTCTACCTCCTTTGTAGTATATGGTGTACCCTAAATAGTCCAGCTATTTCCTGATCAATTTTTTATAATTCTACAATTGTACATTGTGAATTCTATATTAATAAAATGACAGGTTAGTGTGAGAGGTTTGTTTTCAATTTGCAATTTAAAATTTATAAATAAATATTTTAATGCTATTTACAATATTAAAAACAAAAGAAATAGAGCAAATTTATATTTAGTGTCAATCATACTTATTTTCATGTTAGAAGATATTTTAGTAAGCCAACCAAAAATTCAAATAGCTTCCGTGTCAATACTAGGTGGATTGAATGGCAACTGAGCAAATAAATATGAATACCTAATGTGTGTAACTTTATGAATTAGAATCATAGAATGTTGGAGTTTATTAAGTACAACCTTTTACTTTTGAGGTCACCTGTTACCCTAGTCATAGAGGTAGGACTTGAATCCAAAAGTCCTGATCCTAGTTTAGGGCTCTGTTCCCACCGAATTTTATTTTTCTGTTTCGCATATATTTCACTCAGCTTTTTAGCACTGAGTTCTTTAATTTTGGTTCCTTTAAAGATCAACAAAAATAAAAGACTTTGCCATTCTTGATCACAACTCTAGTATATATATTGGGGCTTTAGAATATATTGTTGGAAATATTGGAAAGGATAAGAAAAACAGAGGCAGCAGAGTTTATGCTTGTGTTTTTGGAAATTTTTTTCTGTTTCTGAGTAAATGTTTTAAAAAGGTAAGGAACACTTTTACTTTTGCCAAATTAGTTAATTAAAAGAACAAAACTCTGTTGTTACAAATACCTAGAAATGCCAGATAAAATCTATCAAACTTAAAGATCCTCAATGCCAGAAATAAGGAGAAAACTATAAGTGAGAGAAGAAATATTGCGAACTAGTTCAGTGGCTGCCCTCAGTGAGATACTATTTATTCCAATAACCTACTGGTTTGGATTTGTTACTTCCTTGTGGAGAATGGAATTGAGATCTTGGGCCCATCCAGTGGGAATTTGAACTGAGATCCCACTTAAAGCTAAGACCTTCAGACATCTGCATCCTTAGTAAAAGGATAGACCAAAATAAAAACTGTCCATCATCACCAAGAGACAACAGAAATCTCTCTTGAATAATTAAGCCCTTTGATATGGACATTCCACAGGTTTGGAGTCTAAATATGTACTACCCATGTCATCCAGAAACCCACAGGATTAGAAAGTAAAAAAAAAAAAAAAAAAAATTATCACCAAACTGTTTTATTTTCAGCAGAAACAATCACAGAACTGGAAGAACACTTCCAAACTTCAGGTTCCGTGGGATTCTTAAACATAATACTCCACTGAAGATAAGATCACAATCCAAAATTATGAAACACACAGTGAAACAATGCATTATGAACTAGAGTTAGTAGACACAAGCAGAAGGATTTGTGCTCTAGGAAATTTAGATAATGCAGTCATAATCAGAAAAGATATAAAATAAGTATGTTTAAAATAATAAATCATAAAGGAAATCAAAACCACAAGAAAAGACTGTGACTATCACAAAATAATCAAAAAGCACTGCCAGAAATGAAAACTATAATAATTAAAATTTAAAACGTAATGGATTCCCATGAGTGTGGGCTGAGCTTACTGCCTTGCTTCTTGTGAATAGAGTATGAAAAAGGAAAAATAGCAACTTCACAGTGAAGAAACTTGGTAGATACCTTCTCCACCAAGTGATTAGGGTTAACCTCACCATTAATAAAAAACATACTGATATTATGTAGCTGTGTACCTCCTGATGTGATACAATGAGAAGTGCACACCACCTATGAGGTGTTCTTCCCCAAAATTCATAGCTTCAGTATATGTTGGGAGAAATCAGACAAAACCAAATTGAGGAATATGCTACAAAATACCTGATCAGTACTCTTTAAAAGTGTCAAGGAAAGGAGAAACTATCACGGATTCATAAAGACTAAATGCAACAAGGTGTTTGTTGTATATTAGATCCTAGAACAAAAAGTGGATATTAGGGGAAAGACTGGATTAATCTGAATTAAGTCTGTAGTTTAGTTAATAGTATTGTACCAGTGTTAATATTTTAATTTCTTGATAATTATACTATGTTTATGTAAAATGTTAACATTAATGCAAGCTGGTGAAGGATATATAGGAACTCTGTACTATCTTTGCAACTCTTCTATAAGTCTAAAAATTATTTCAATTTCTGTAAGTCTAAAATTATCTTAAAACATTTTTAAAAAGTAAAAAAAAAAAAAAAAAAACCCAAACCCTAGAAGCTATAGAAAATCTATTCTAGTTTGTAAACCATAATTAAATTTTATTTAGAACATTTGTAAGTTGAAGTAAAACACAACAAAATCTCTCAGTGGACTAGTTAAAACAGCCAGCAAAAAAGATAATTATATTTATTGATTCATCAAATACCAAGCACTGTTGTAAACACTTAACGTATATCATCTCATTAATTCTCACAGTAATCCTCTGAGGATGGCACTATTATTTTCCTCTATTTTACAAATGAAGAAACTGAATCACAGAGAGGTTAAGTAGCCTTGCCTGAAGTTACATAGCTTATAAATGGTGGCCTTAGAATTCTAGCCCATGTTATTTGACTAGAGAGCCTGCTCTTAATCACACTATACTGAGGAAATTGCTCAGAATGCAGCACAGAAAGATAAAAGATGGAAATATGAAAGAAAGATAAACATTTAGAGGATACAATGAGAAGATTCAGTGTGTGTATGCACATCCATACACATATCTATATACACATAAATATGCACTAACCAGGAGAGATTAGAGAGAATGTGGGAAAAACAATATTTAAAGAATTAATGGCTGAGAATTTTCTAGAATTGATGAAAGATCTATAGCCTCAGATTAAAGAACCATCTCCCTAAAATTCTAAGCAATATCCCCCTGCCCCCACTTCTATACATTGCAAAACTTCTAGATACAAAGCAAAGATAAATTGTTACATGCAACCTCAAGAAACAGATTACCAACTGAGGATTAGCAGGTAGATTGACAACCACTTTCCAAATAACAACAGTTGAGGCCAGCATTTAGTGAAATGCTGAGAGAAAATACAGTTATACGTCACTTAATGATGGGGATACATTCTGAGAAATGCATCATTAGATGATTATGTCATTGTGCGAACGTTATAGAATGTACTTACACAAACCTAGATGGTGTGGCCTTCTATACACCTCGGTCACACAGTGTAGCCTATTGCTCCAGCCACCGTTAGATATGTGGTCTGCTGACCAAAATGTCATTATGTGGTGTGTGACTGTGACTGTTAACCCAGAGTTCTCCATCTATTCAAACTATCATTCAAGAGTGAGCATGAAATTAAGATTCTTTTCACACAAAAATTGAGTTTTCCAGTCACATTCTATCATTTAAAAAACTCATATAAGGTGTACTTTAGAAAGAAGGAACTGTATGGAGAAGAAGGAATGAGTGATAAGCAGCAATGTTGTGCAAATTGAGGATATTGAAATCTTGACTGAATGAAAAAATAAGAATGGTAATGTCTAATTTCATTTTGCGTAGAACTTGCACATTTATTCACCTTTGTCATCTTTATGATAATCGTCTGAGGCACTGAGTCTCAAGTTTGAATGCACATTGAAATTACCTGGGCTTTTTAAAAACTACTAATGCCTGGATTTGCCCCCAAAGATCCTGCTTTAATTTGTATGAGGTACGGCCCAGTCATTGAGAATTTTAAATACCTCCCAGATATTTGAGTGCACAACAGTGTTTAAGAACTATTGCTTTTAGGGAGTTGGCCAGGTTAATACTGAACCTTAGAGAACTTGTGGTTTGCTTGGGATCACAAGGGAGGCAAAATCAGGTCCAGTCTCTTTCTTAAGTGTAGAATTCTTTATTCTGAATGATATTCTTTTAAAAGGTTATAAAATGGACAAGTATGCCTTTACTCAAAAGGCAATAAGACCAGGTACAGTTAAGTTAAAAACTGAGTTTTAGCTAAATTTGGGTAATGTACTTTACTTATAGAATCTTTGTTTTTAAAAGAGAAGTGTGAAATCTATTTTTAAGACTCTGAGTTACCTAGGTTGAAGGCTTGCGGGCAGCCAGGTGGTAAGAAGCAGAGGGCTTGATTTGATCGGTTTCCTCTTTGTGAGTTTAAATATATTTTTATGCCTTGATAAAACTATTAGATAGTGTCTAGCTTACTGCTTGGGAAATAATAACATTAAATAGCAAATATATTGGAAGCCACTAAAATCATGCTTCTTAAAGAAACATTTCACTAATGAATTTTTCAAAGAATCTACAATAAATATCAGAACATTTCTATTTGAATTTTTTATTCTGGTTAATGTCTCGTACCAAGTTTATTTTTACTTTTTGCTTTTTAGCGAGTTAAGGAAAGTAGAGTATACTGAGTTTTTATTTTGCTGCTGAAAAGATAATTTTCTCATTTTTGAAGGTGGAAACTCACATGACACTTGAATTAACTGGAAAACTTTTTTTTTCCTGATTTTAGACCAACTGCAGCAGAACTGTTAAGGCACAAATTTTTCCAGAAAGCAAAGGTAGGAAATTCTAGCTTTTCATTATATGTGTTCATATGATGCTTCAATTAATTACCCAAATTATGTTCACTGTTCAGAAGTTGCCTTTCTTAAGATGATTATGTTTGGAGGAATGATGGTGAACAAAATAATTGTAGAAGGGACTATGTATACAATTTTTTGTAATTAAGATACTTGCTTTGGAATTTAACTAAATTAATTAGTTAAAAATTAACTAAGTTAATGTACTTTTATGGAAATTAAATTTCAGGTTAAACTTATAGGAAAAATGATTACTAAATTTTGCTATCATAAATATAATCTGTATCAACTCTCATTTCAAGTTTTATTATTGCATTAGTAAACATCTGATTTCCCAAAGATATCAGATAGTGGGATGTTACTTTAGTTGGAAATGTGAACCATCATCTCAAAGGACATAAATTTAGTATAGCAAACTTTTCATAGATAATGGTTTATACAGTACACTGAAGCTCAATCTTCTGTCAATTTATAAAACCATGGGACTAACATACTAAAGGAGCTTCAGAGTAAAAGAATGGAGGTTTTTCTTATACTTCTTTATAAAACAGTTACTATTTCACATTTTAATTGTGGTGAACATTTTTGTGTCAGTTTTATTGGTTTGATAAAACTTCTTGTAAGAACAAAACATTTGCTTTTCCTCTCCAGAATAAAGAATTTCTCCAAGAAAAAATATTGCAGAGAGCACCAACCATTTCTGAAAGAGCTAAAAAGGTAAATGGGAATTCAACTCACTTTTCATGAGAAATTGCAGATTCACTTTACTCTTGCATTTTGAAATTATATGTTAAGTTATACTTTGTTAATGATATACGAGTATTATTTGTTTTCTTTCAGTCTTTTCTAAGGCATTCTTTACCATGTTCATTCAAATATCACTGGTCTACTATATGCCTAGGTATTACTCTGCTATCTACTAAGGTGAAAAGTTATGCTAGGCAGCAGTTAGGGAATTAATTCTAAACCCTGTTGAAACACTGTTTCCATCTACCAGACTGAGATGTGATTTTATAACATACCATTTATAGCTTTGGATGTAAGTCATAGTATCCTCTTCTACCTCCAAATTTTCTCATGCTTTTACTAAAAGGCCAAAAGAATCTTATTGTGCATATGTAATTTCTAAGAAGTTTGCTCATAATGTGAGTGTAGAAAAATGCTTTAAGATCTCAGGGCAAAATCCTAGTACTCTGGGAGGCTGAGGCAGGCGGATTGCTCAAGGTCAGCAGTTCGAAACTAGCCTGAGCAAGAGCAAGACCCCGTCTCTACTGTAAATAGAAAGAAATTAATTGGCCAACTAATATATATATATATAGAAAAAATTAGCCGGGCATGGTGGCGCATGTCTGTAGTCCCAGCTACTTGGGAGACTGAGGTAGGAGGATTGCTTGAGCCCAGGAATTTGAGGTTGCTATGAGCTAGGCTGATGCCACGGCACTCACTGTAGCCTGGGCAATAAAGTGAGACTCTGTCTCAAAAAAAAAAAAGATCTTAGGGCAAAACATAAGAATTTTCCATTCCATGAAACTTTTATGAACCTCTGGAACAGTAGGAAGAACAAAATCCTCCCTTTTCCCTACTCTTATGTCTCTGCTCAAAGCAGACTTATCCACTGTGAAGAAAATGAGGCAGTTTAGGCTTTTGCTGATGATAGACTTGAAGAAGGTAGAGGTCCTGTACCTTATAAAAAATACAGTGGTAGCTTTTCCAGGAAGTTAAAATAATCAATGTCTAGTGGTGGCTTATTCTTTTCCATAGATCTCACTGCTTGGGAATTCTGATATTATTAAGAAGGTTTTACATGATAAAGAACCAGAAAAGTATATTGAACACTTTGAAATGATGTCTTACTAAGCACAATTAACTTGTCTCTATCTTAGAGATATATTTTTCTGCAAATTTAGATATTCAGTCTAGTAATTAAGGGACTCTCTTTTCTTCCTGAAGAGTTCTTTTTGAAAAGTACCAACAAGCTGTTGTTTTCTAGTTTTTTTCTTAGACTTAAAGTTATTTTTCACTTCTGGAAAAATTTCCTCTCCTACATTGGATCTTTTCACTTTCTATACTTTTTTCCTTGGATGTGTTTTCCCTTAATCAGTGGTTATAATTCACTGTTAAATATCCAAATCACCTGGGGACTTAAAGGGGGAAAAAAAAGAAACATAAAGAGTATCATCCCAAACCAACTAAAGTCATATCTCTGGGGACTGGGGACTGGGGACTGGGACCTGGGACCTGGAAGATTGCTCTCATGGGTAGCCACTGGGTTGAACACTCATTTAACTCATTCCTCCACTTCATTGCAGGTCTCTACTTAAGTGGCCCTTCCTCAGAATAATTTTCTCCAACTAGTAAAATAGTACTCTCCCATGCTTTTGTATCCCTTTACCCTACTTTATTTTTCTTTAAAGAACTTATCATCATCTGACATTTTATATTCTTTCTATACCATTAGAACAAAACCTTAATGAGAACAGGTACTTTTGGTCATTGCTATATCTTCAGTATACCTAGAGCCATTTTATCTACTAAAATAACAGTTAAGAGAATACAAAGAAAAGTCACAAACCCCAAATGGACAGAAAAAAAAATATGGGAGAAGTGAAAGCTGCAACCAAATTTTCTAAACTATGATGCCAGTAAAAAGTGGTAAGTGACTTGGCAAATCAGAGGAATATAATTGCTGAGCCAGCATTCAAGAAAGTTTAGAAGCTACCTTGTACAACAGAACTGCAGAAGGCAAGGGAGTTAGTACCAGGTACCTCCAGAAATGAGAGTGAAAGTAGGGCTAAAAAATAGGAGGATTGGTTGAAAGTCTTAAGGTAGAGTTAGATTCTGGTTCCCCTCTCTCCCTCCATGCTGGACCCCAGGAGATGTCTGGAGGTTTATTCTGCAGAAAGGTAAAAGAAATGGTCTCTGAACTGAAGGACACAGTTGAATAGTGGGAACTTACTGAAAAGGTGCATTTAAGTGAATGCTTACATGCTACATGTTAAGAACCCCTAGTCATATTACTTCATTCAACTCCTAGAACACAGCATTAAAGCTTATTATCCCCAAGACAGGACACTGGAAGATCTTTATGTGATTTATCTGACTGGCCCAAGAGGAAAACCTTAATGGTACTGACATTGGGGTTCCCTCTGAGAAATGCTCACCCAGATCACTCTGTAGTGAAGCTCATAGTCAGAAAACTCCACCTACTTAAAAACTCAGTGCTTCCAATGAGTGTTTTAGTTTCTTGCTCTTAAATATGAGCAGAAATCTAGGATCACAGGATATCTGAGGAAAACTTCTTCATATAAAAGATAGAGGACAAATAAACACAGGAAGAAAATTTAGAGAAAATAGAGTTATGATTTTATTAGGTCATTAAATATGAAATGTCCCATTTCAAATCAAAAGTTTAGTTTATTATATCTCGAACAAGAAGCAGTACAATCAATCAAAGTAGTATGAGCCTAAAGTATTGACACGGTTTTGCTATCTTGATGGTAGCTTGTTTATGCCAGCAGCAAAGAAGCCTGGAGAGCAGTAGTAATGAAATCGCAAAGGGCCTTTCCTACAGCTTGTTGAGAATTGAATATTTTTCCTTATAATACGTGGCCCAAAGCCTGGAAGAAGTGGTAGTCAGTTGGTGCAAATGGTGGATGACAGAGCGTTTCCAAGTCCAACCTCTGTAGTTTGAGCAGCATTGTTTGTGAGACATGTGGTCAAGCATTGTCTGGCAAGAGGATTGACCTGTCTGTTGACCAGTGGTGGCTGCTTAATCACAAGCATCCTCATCATTTCATCCAGTTGGTTGCAGTAGACATCCGCTGTAATCTATTGACCATGTTTCATGAAGCTGTAGTGGATAATACCAATGTTGGACCACCAAACAGACAACATTAGCTTTTTTTAAATGAATGTTTGGTTGTGGACTGTGTTTCTGCACTTCATCTTTATCCAGCCATTGTGCTGCTCTTGCAATTGTCAAAAAGAATCCATTTTTATCACACATAACAATACAGTGTAGAAATGGTTCACCTTCAAGTTGTAACAGCAAAGAAAGGCAAGCTTTGAGAGATGATTTCTCTTGTGATGCTCATGTTATTCGTGTGGTACCTATCTATCCAGCTTCTCTTTACCTTGTCGATTTGTTTCAAACAGTTCAGTATTGTTGGAATAGTAACATCAAACCTTGCTGCTAGTTCATGCATAAGGTGAGATGGATTCATTTCTACTATAGCTTTCAGCTGATCATTGTCCACCTCGGTCTTAGGTCACCCATGTGGCTCATTTTCAAGATTAAAATCACCAAAGCAGAAATTCTCAAACCATCAGCATACTGTGTATTCACTAGCCACATCCTTCCCAAACACTTTGTTGATATTTCGAGCTGTCTGCATAGCCTTGGTCCCACCACGGAACTCATATTTGAAAATAAAACAAATTTTTGACTTGTCCATGGTTTCATAAAAATTGCTCTAAAAACAAATTTGACAGATAATCACAAGCCAGACTATGCATTTGAAGGAATGAGGATGTGCCTTCAATAAAAATAAAATGAGAAATGTCAAAGTGAAATAGAGATATCAACTGTCAAACTTAGTACTTAAGGAAATCAGGCATTTCATACTTAATAACCTAATATTTAAGTTGTCTTCCGTCAATTTAAATGAAATCATGACTCTTTTGGAGATAAGAATTTGCATTCATAAAAAATGAAGATAATGCTATTTAAAAAGAAGCATTTGGCCAGGACAATACAGTGGGTAAAGAATAATCTTCTACAGCTGGAACCCATTCTACTAAGTGAAGTATCTCAAGAATGGAAAAATAAGCACCACGTGTACTCACCAGCAAATTGGTATTAACGGATCAACACCTAAGTGGACATATAGGAATAACATTTATTAGGTGTCGGAAGAGGGGAGGAAGGGATGGGTATATACAGCCACAACAAGTAAGATGTGCAACGTTTGGGGGATGGACACACTTGAAGCTCTTACTCGAGGGGGGAGGGGGGCATGGGCAATATATGTAACCTTAACACTTGTACCCCCATAATACGCTAAAAAACAAACAAACAAAAACAAATATTAGATGTATGTGTAAGCACATATTATAATCACATGATAGATAAAATAACTGTACTGAAAACACTATATACAATATAATATGTATATATGTATGTCAGTATGTATGTACTGAAGACATTATTTGTGTTTCAACATAATGTGTATATAGTGTATGTGTTACAATATATATAAAATCTTAACTGAGAAAAAAAATAAATAAAAAATAAAAATAGTTCAAAAAAAAAAAGAAGAATCTTCAGCAGATGGTACTGGTATAACTGAATATCCCCATGCAAAAGAATGAAGTTGGGTCTTTTCCTCTTACCTTACAGGAAAATTAACTCAAAATATATTGTAGACCTAAATATAAGTGGTAAGGCTATAAAACTCTTTAAAGAGTATAGGAGTAAATCAGTGGGAACTTGAGTTAGGCAAAGCTTTCTTAGATATAACAAAAATACAAGCCATAAAAGGAAAAATAAATTGACTTCATCAAAATTAAAAACTTTTGTGCTTTAATAGACACAATCTAGAAGGTGAAACGACAGCTTAGAGAATGGGAATAAGTATTTGCAAATCTTATATCTGATAAGGTGCTTATATCTAGAATATTTAAAGAAGTCTTAACAACTCACTAATAAAAAGACAACCCAGTTTACCAAATGGGTAAATGATCTGAATTGACATTTCTCCAAAGAAGATATACAAATGGCCAATAAGCACAACAAGATGCTTAATATTATTAGCCATCAGAGAAATCAAAACATTAATGAGGTACCACTTTATACTCATTGGGATGGCTATAATAAAAAAGACAGTAACAACTATTGGTAAAGATGTAAAGAAATTGGAATTCTTTTAACACTACTGATGGGAATGTAAAATTTGTAGCCACTTTGGAAAACACTCTGACAATTCCTCAAAAAGCTAAACAGAAGTATTATATGACCCAGCTGTTTTACTCCTGGGCATACCCAAGAGAATTGAAAACGTACATAAAAACATGTACACAAGTGTTCATAGCAGTATTATTCATAATAACCAAAAAGTGGAAACAACTCAAATGTCCATCAACTGGTGATTGGGTATATAAAATGTGGTATATCCATACAATGTAATATTATTCAGTAATAAAAAGAAATAAAGTTTTGATTTGTGCTATAATGTGGATGTAATGTAATGTGGATCCTTTAAAACATGCTAGTTAAAGAAGCCAGTCACAAAAAAACAAATAATGTGTGGTTCCATTTATGTGAAATGTCCAGAATTGGCAAATGTGTAGAGACAGAAAGTAGATTAGTGGTTGCCTAGTACTGAGGGTTTTGGAGAGAAATGGGCAGTGCCTGCTAAAGGATGTGGCATGTTTGGTGGGGACAGGGAGGGTTGATGATGAAAGTGTTCTAAATTTTTAATTGTAGTGATGGTTGCACAACTCTGAATATACTAAAAATAATTGAATTGTGTACCTTCAGTGGGTCAGTTATATAGAGTTGAATTATATTTCAATAAAGTTATTATTTTTAAAGGGGGGGCATTCACCAACAAAAAGCTCTTTTAAAAAAAGCCAACAAAAGCCATTGAAAACAGAAGAAATGAAAACTTCAATATAAAGGTTGTGGGATAAAGTTGAGGGAATTTACCAGAAAGGAGAGCCAGAAGGCCCAGATATAAATAACAGATTTGAAAAGAGGATCATATGAGAAGGTTCAGCATTTGATTTGAAAGAGTTCCAGAAAAGGAGAACTTAGAAAAACAGAAGAAAGGAAATCATTGAAGAAATAATTCAAGAAAAATTTCCAAAATTGATGGTCATGAATTTCCAAAATGAAGGATCCTGAGTACCCAGCACAGTGATTAAAAATAGACTAACACTAATGCACATTACCATGATAGGTCAGAATATTGTAGGCAAAAAGAAGAATCTATAATTTTCCAGAGAAGGGGGAAATGTCACAAACAGGATCGAGAGTCATGATGACCTCAGGAACACTTCTGGAAACCAGATCACAATGCAGCAGTTATCTTCAAAATTAATGAAAAGAAATGATTCCTAATCCAGCCTTTTTTTTTTCCTTTAACCAAAGTATAAAAGAAGTATGGGGATAGAATCAAGGTAAATTCATAAACGCATGGCTTTAATAAATGCACCATGCTAATAGTGGAGAAAGTATTTAAACTTAAAACAGAGAAATCATGTGATCCAGGAAGCACAGTCCTCTGGATGATGGTAGAGTACAATCTGAAATAGCAGACCTGGCATGAAATCAGCCTAGGGTGGAGCAGATCAGGAGGCTTTGATGAGAAAGTCTTCTCGAAGAAGATGATACTGATAGAATACTTAATTGAATGTGGTGAGAGGAGATTTACACAGCTGAGAAAGAATAAATATTAACTCCAGGGGAAACAAAAAAGGTATGCAGGAAAGAAAAGTAATGGTAATATACAATAAGGCTCAGCCATGAGTATCATGTATATAATTGCGTATGCAAACTAAATATTGATCTAACCAAAATTACAGTATATCTTGAGAAAAGAATAGAAGATTGATAATAGAGTTAAATTTTCATCTTTTGTGGGAAGTCCCATAGATAATTCCTAAAACCAAAATATGAATGAATAATGATAGGAACACATTAGAGAGAAGAATATAAATTCTAAAATAATAAGCTAAAATGAGTTGAAAGTGGTTGCTACCCGTGGAGAAGATAGGGGTTAGGAGATTTCTCTTTTCCTTAACAAAACTTGCACAGCAGTTTGAAAAGTATTAATATAAGCAGTATAATTTTTATTTAAAAACTTAAAACACGACATATTCTTTGTCTTGAGTTTATTTTGAGGACTGAAAACCTCTTTTATTTTTTCTCGCTAAATGTCCCAGGGCATTAAAACATTAATCATATTTGACCTATGACTTCACATAGCAGGATTTTGATGTTTGGGCTCAGAGTAATAGAAGTGCAGGGAAGGTTGGTGGTTGTGGAGACAGCAGAGGCTATGAACAGAGAGGGTTAGAATATACGAATTTATGGGAGTGCTTATGAGGAGAAGGATTATCCACTTAATGGGTTGAAGTGATAGAGAAATATGATTGTGTTTTCTGTTTAGTAAATGTGAAACGCTACCATAATCCACGTTTCTTCCTAATGCGCAGGTTCGGAGAGTGCCAGGTTCCAGTGGCCGTCTTCATAAGACAGAGGATGGAGGCTGGGAGTGGAGTGATGATGAATTAGATGAAGAAAGCGAGGAAGGAAAAGCAGCAATTTCACAACTCAGGGTAAATTTTGTTAAACTGTATGATTTTTCTAGAACTCTCTGTGGTTCTTATTTAGCGCAATCAGCTAAAATATAAAGAGTATATAATTATTAGTGACAGAATTTCCTTGAACAACTTATTAACATCAGGAGCCCATAATTCTGCATGGAATATTAGACTAGCACATATATTTGAATATGATAATATTTAGAGAATATAAAAATGACCCAGATCTATAGATGAAAACTATAATGTCTGAAAAATACACTGGATAGAATTAATTAAACATTTCAGAAGAGAAAGTTAGCAAACTTGAAGGCCTAGCAGTAGAAACTTTGTCCCTGAAGTCTGTTATCCTTCTACCTGAAGAGGAACAGTGTACTTCTTCTTTAGCTGGTATATCCTAGATATATGTCTGAGAGGTGTGTGTGTGTATGTGTGTGTATGTGCGTACGTGCCTGCCTGCCTGCCTGATGTCTGTGTGTGTGTGTGTGTGTGTTTGTGTTTGCTAAAAGCAATGAAGACAAAGGTCTTCTGCTTCAAGTTGACTGGTGTGTGTGTGTTTGCATTTGCTAAAAGCAGTGAAGACAAGGGTCTTCTGCTTCAAGTTGATTGTCAGGACTCAATCCCAAGAATAGATGTGTATATAGGAAATATAAGGGTTGGACAGTATGACGCCTTCACTCGGGACTTTTTTTGTGGGATGAATAGTGGGTCTCTGCTTTTAGGATCTACTTTGGTGAAAGCACTTATGACTCTGTTGATCAACATTGAGTATTTGTTGACCTCGTTTATCCAATGAGGTCTTTGAGTCTAGTCCTTTTGTAGAGCTAAGTTTGTAAAGGCTTTGCCAATGAAAATTGGCAAAAATTTATTAAGCTTTAAGTTTGGAAATGTTCATAAAACATATAAACATTTATCTCTATACAATTGTGAGTTTAATGTTTCATTATAAATGTGATACTATGGTGTCTTCCTTACTTTTTCATGTGACTCCTTTCTGAATTGACACTGTATTGTAATCAAATATTAAAGCTGCTGGAGGAAGCGAGAACTACATAAACCTTATAGTTCTAGTTTCCTATGAAAGAGATGATGATGCTATTTTTATTCTAACAAATATTTGGAAAGATAAATTATAGCTTTCAATATCTGATTATTATTGCCTAGCCATTTGTAGGAAATTTGGTAGTTCTGAAATAGTTATAATAGCTTCTCTATAACCTATACACTGGTATCTAATATACTGGCAAGACCCTATCTACTGGCATCTGTAGATACTAGTATATACAAAAATATATATACAAAAATTATACAAAAATATATAAATACATATACAAAAGTATATACAAAAATTATATATTTTGTCCACAGAATAAGTAGCTTTTTCTCCAGTATTTTTCATGTTATCTTCATAGCCATTTTTGAGATCATAAACTCTTTTTTTAAAAATGAGTCTTATAAAACTGTATTGAACTATATTAAGAAAAGAATATACCATGATGAAATGGGGTGGGGTAAAATGATGGTTCAATATTAGAAATCTTGTAATATTAGTAGAGCTGAGAAGAAACCCTATTTTTATTTTCATAGATTCTGAAAATGTCTTTGACAACATTTAGCACATATTCATAATAAAGACTCTTGTGTAGATCCAGATTTCCATCTTTGTATTATTTTTCTTATGCCTAAAGAACTTCTCTTAATATTTTTTGTGTTGTAGGTCTGCTGGCAATGATTTCTTTAAGGTTTTATGTCTGAAAATTCCTCTCATTCACCTTTATTTTGATAAGACATGTTTGCAGAGCATAGAACTCTAGATTGGTAGGCTTTTTCTTTCAGTACTTTAAAGATGTTTTTCACCATTTTCTTGCTTGCATGTTTCCACTGAGAAATCTGGTGACATCCTTATCTTGTTTCTGTATAAGTAATATGTCTTTTTTCTCTGCCTGCTTTTAAGATTTCCTCTTTATAAATACGTAGGTATATTTTTCTTCATGTTTCTTGTGCTTGGGGTTTTGTTGAGCTTGTTCAATCTGTGGGTTTGTAGGTTTTTATCAAGTTTGGAAACTTTCAGTCATTATATCTTCAAATATTTTTTCTGTCTTCCAATAACATATATATTAGCTACTTGAAATTGTGTCATATCCCACTGATTTTCTTTTCATTTTTTTAAAATTATTTTTTCTCTCTCGTCATTTTGTATAATTTCTATGCTGCCCTTCAAGTTCATTTATCTTTTCTCCTGCAACTTCTGCTAATTCTATCAAGTCTATATTTCAGAATCTCAGGCATTGCAATAGTCTAAAAGTTCAATAGATTTTTTTAAACTTCATCCATGTCTCTACTTAACTTTTTAAAGATATGTAATATAGTTATAATAACTATTTTAATGTCCTTCTCTGCTAATTCTAACATCCGTGTCAATTCTGGATTGGAAAAATTATCAATAGCTGGGTGTGTGGTGGTACATGCCTGTAGTCGCAGCTACTTGGCTGGGTGAGGTGGGAGAATCACTTGAGCCCAGAAGGTCAAGGTTATAGCGAGCTGTGTGATTGGGCCACTATATTCCAGCCTGGGCAACAGAGCAAGACCCTGTCTCTTAAAAAATTCTGGATGGATTTTATTTGATTGATTATTCTCTTCATTGTGCCTGTGTCTTCATACCCGGTAATCTTTGATTGGAAGCCAGACATTGTGATTTTTACCTTGTTTCATGCTAATAATTTTGTATTACTATGAATCTTGAGCTTTATTCTGGGATACAGTAAAGTTAATTGGAAATAGTTTAATCCTTTTGGGTTTTGCTTTTGTGATTTGTTACTTGGGTCTGGAGTTGTGTTCATTCTACAGCTATTTATTCCCCATTACTGAGACAAGATTTTTTTGAGAATACTACCTACCCAATGTCCTGTGAGTTATTAGTTTTTCCATTCTGGCTAGTGGGAATAGATACTGTTCCTGGCTCTTTGTGTGTGCTGCACTGTTCCCAGTAGCCTTTTTTGATGTTTTTTGCCTCAGTCTCAGGTAGTTTCCTTACACACATTCATTGATAAGTATTCTGCTGAATGTTCAAAAGCAACCCTCTGCAGATCTCTAGGGTTCTTTCTCTATGGAGCTCTCTCCTCCCTGCTGCATGTTAGGGAATGGGATGTAGGCCTCTGTGCGCCCCGCCCCCATCCGTGGAAAAATTGTCTTCTATGAATGGTTGGAGGGGAGGCACTCATCAGGAGGTGAGCGGTGGTCTAAAGCTTCATCTGTATATCTGTATTTACAGCTACTCCCCATTGCTGGCATCACCACCTGAGCTCCTCCTCCCTTCCCCCTTTCCCCCTCCATAGAAAAATTGTCCTCCATGAAACCGGTCCCTGATGCCAAGAAGGTTGGGGATCCCTTCTGAAAGAGAATAAAAAGAAAGAATTAATTCAGGTAACCTATGAACACAGTATCTGATTAGCTGCTCTTAGTCTTAGGCGTAGTTATGAGAGAAGGAGAAAACTTCAGAGAAATATTGAACTCCTTTTACTAGGATTGTTTTTCATAGTTACATATGCATAGCAGTTCTGAAACTCTTGTAGATGATTTGTAGGGTTGAGCAAATGAGTAAATGTCTTGGTGTTTTGGGGAGCTAAGATTCTCCCTGTAGAAGAAGAGACATACAAATACAGAATGGGGCAAGGTGAGAAAGAATCGTTTGGGGATAGATTTGAATTGGAGGTTTTGGTGTGAATTCAAGCTTTTTAAAGGAGTGTGTGTGTGAGAGAGAGACAATGAGAATGTCTTTGTCCCTATGTATGTATATATGTGTGTATATACTTGCATATATCTCAGCTTTGTCTACTGAGGGGCCTAGAAGCAAAAACACACCAATAATAATAAGCATACCTTATACCTAGATCATGGTCTCTAATGCAATTCTCCACTTAAAGAAACCAGGGCTCCTTTGAGAAATGGCTGGTTCCAGAGCTTGGGCAAGGAAAATATAAGATGAATCTGGAATATTATCTTTTGCTAGAAAGAAAGGATGCTTAAAAATTAAAAAACACACAACTAATGGACGCAGTGAGCATTATAGAGGGGAAGGGCATGCCTCTAATCCTTGCTTGGGTGAGGCAAAGACATAAAATGTAACCAAATTGTCTGTACACTCATAATATCCTGAAATTAAAAAAACATTAAAAACCTCATAAGAATACAAGTGCCTGCTTGAAGGAGTACCCACTGACCAACTCTGGGCCAATTTAACCATTAAAATTATTAAATGCAGTAATCATTTAAAAATGGGAATATATAAGTCCATATTAATTATAAGTAGTACATAAATAAATGGAGGAACTAAAGGATAGTTCATGACAGTAGAATGCCAAGTGCTGACTGGTAAATGTGAAGGAGTGTTAGAGGTGGAAAATCCTCATTTTACAAACATCATCACAAAGATAGGATCAGGCAAGAATTATCAATGATGCCAAATATAGGGGGCAGTTTTGCTGAGCAGGATATTGTCATGGTCTCAAAATGTCTCCCTACAGATTGCCTATTAGTTGCAAGGGAAAAACTAGTTACTATACACTGGAGTTACTCTCTATATATTGGAGAAATAGGACAATTCCTTGAACAGGTGATTAAAATTAACTTTGCTAACAAGGGGCAGATGAACTTGTGGTACCCTAAGAAGGACACGATCACTATGTAGAATCCAACTGGAAATTCATTTAAGACTAGTAACAAGGAAACAGATAAACCCCAAATGAGTGACATCTATCAAAGTATATAGTAGAGGTGGAGGGACTATATTCTTCAAAAATGTTGATGTTCCAGATTTTACAAATCTAAGGAAACATAACAGCTAACTGCAATATATGATTTTAGACTGCATCCTATACTGGAAGAAAAACAAAAGGCTACAAAGGACATTAAGATCAACTGACAATTAGACTATGGACAATAAATTAGATTAAAATATCATTGTTAAATATGCTGATAACTGTAGTGTCAAATTATTTAAGAACATATTTCTATTCTTAGGAAATACACGCTCTGATTAATAAGTGGCAAACAGCCATGTTACATGCAACTTATTTTCAAATGGTGCAGGAAAAATATGATTAAATAATTTAGAAAGAGAAAGTGAGCACTCAAATGATAAAGCAGATGAAGAAAGAAAGGTTAATAATAGATGAATTAGGCTAAAGGGTTTACTGGTGTACTTTGTATTGTTCTTATTCTAGCAACTTTTCTATAAGTTTGAAATTATTTTTAGAGTTTTTTAAAAAGGATTTTGGATTGGCTACTTACTTGCTGTACTACATTAGCTATTATCTAAACCTTGATTCTCCTTAATAAAATGGTGATGAAAATTAAAAAAAAAAAATCCCCAAGTTGACCTTTTAAGAAGTCTGGCTAAATCCATTTTTGGTAGAATTTACCATAAATTGATATTTGTTTGGAGGTAGGTTTTTGGTAAACTACAATGCCTGTATCCAGAATTACTACTAACTGTTATGATTTACCAGATAAAGTTAGCTTAGATTTTTATACACACAGATTATAAATGTTCATTTCCAAATAAATGTGATTCACATCAGGCACTTGAGACCTCACCTCAATTTGTATTAACATATCAATTTATTTCCACTAACCATTTTTTAATTTTTGGACAACCCACATTTATTTACATACCAGATCCCTAGATATCTAGCTACAAAAGTAAGGGTAGTAGTAGACTCTTGAAGTGCAGCTTTCATATTGATGCGGAAAATGTCGGGCTCCGGGATGCAGCCGCTTGACGCCTCCCCGTCACTCCTCGTCTGGGGGGACCAGCGCTGTGCATGGCCAGTTGGAGGGCATGCTGCTGGGGCAGGACCCCGCATCCCGCAATGCCCCCAGGCACACGTGCTGCTGCCTGTTTCCAGCCCCGCTGCTTACGTGATCCTGATTGGGTAATTTTTGAATCTCACTGTTGTTGATTGGATGTTAAAGCTTATTATTGATTGGATGTTAAAGCTTGTTGTTGATTGGATGTTAAAACTTGTAGTTGATTGGATGCTTTTTGAGCCCTACCAAGGGTATAAAAGCAGGAACAGACCACCCGGAAGGGGCAGAATATGGGAAGACATGAAGAGAGCTGTAACACTAGGTGTGCTGAGCCTGCTGTAGGAGAATAAAGGCAGTTCCGACTCTTCGTGTGCTGCTCAGTTCTTTCCCCTTCAAAGGAATAAGAGCTGTAATGCCAGCTGTACACATTGCTGCAACAGTATCATTGTTTTTTAATTTTGCCTCAAGAGTTTTCTCCATTAAAGCCCATAATCAGAATTACTCTACCTTGAGAATGTGTTGGATAACTAGCTTAAAAGTTTAGGTTTTGGTCTGGGATCTTATGCACTTAATATGTTTGTGATTAGTGGAAAGAATTTTCCTTTGAAGAATGTAACTACACTACTGCCCGAGAACTCAGTCCCATTATGTTTGCTTATACAGCTTCAAGTTGTAGAATTTTAAAATACTATAAGTACATTGATGCATTTATTATAGGCTATCTAAACAAAAAAAATACAATAGTATCAGGACAGTTTTCTTTTTCCAGAAAACTCATTTGAAAATAAGTTGCATGTATCATGGCTGTTTGCCAGTTATTAATCAGAGTATATATTTCCTAAGAACAGAAATATTTTCTTAAATAATTTGACACTACAGTTACCAGCATATTTAGCAGTAATATTTTAATCTGATTTATCGTCCATAGTCTAATTGGCAGTTGATCTTAATGTCCTTTGTAGCCTGAATTAATGTATGGATCAGAATTAAATGGAGTTGACTTACATTCGGCATACTTGCAGTTTGGGGCTGACTACAGGTAACCCGAGTTCTGAGTTAACAAGCATCATTTTTGTATTTCTTTTAGTCTCCTCGAGTGAAAGAATCCATATCAAATTCTGAGGTAAGTAATTGTGATTATTGTTTTGGTTTGGTTTTAATTTTAAGCACTTTTTTTAAGTGTGTATACCAAAATGGGAATGAGACTTTATACTAGTCAAATCTTAAAAGTTGGCCTAAGGGCCTAGAATGTTCTTCCTTGCTTGTTTGACTTTATAAACTGCTTTTATGGCTTGGACTGCTCGAAGTAGAAGGTAGAAGGTAGCGGGTTAATCTGTCCAGGAATTTGTCATATGCTGCCTTCCTTTTTAAAATTTTTTTCCAAGCCTCTTCTCTTGTGAAATAAATTCTATTTTCTTTAGTTACTGTGTCACTATGATAGGAAATCCTACTAAACAGAATCCTGTTACGCTGACTTTCCTTATTCTCACTACCCAAGGAAACCAACTGTTTCCTAGGTCTATTCTGTCATACATTCTTCCGTCTGGCAGCATTTTTATTCTGAGCTGAGTTTTGGTCTAATGAACTACATCTCTGGCTCTTAAACCAATTCTATTACTCCCCTATGCTAAAAAGCAATAATTTTTCCACTTTTTTTGTGTAATTAATACCCAATTTATATACACAATTATGTACACAATTTGTCTACCTAAAACTGTATTAAGACTGCCAATAAATACTGTACCTTGGTATCTTAACAGGCCAGTGTCTGACAACTTATATTAGAACTACTATTCACTAATATGTCTGGCTTTTCATCTTGGTACATGACAGGATTGCATTTCCTAGCCCCTTGAAATTACACATAATTATGTCAATTACTTTGGCCAATGACATACTATCTAGAAAGAAGAGCTACTCATGATTACCTATTTCCTTACCCCTGCCATTATGACTTGCATCCCTGAGTGAAACTTATTAGCCCCTGCTGGAAAGAGATAGACTTCGAATGTGTGCAAGAAATAACCTTTGTTGTTTTAATCCTCTGACATTTTAGGATTGTTACTTCTGACTTAACCTATCTTGACTAATTCATAATTTCTCAGAAATTGAGTGAAAGGGTATTTTATAGATTGTCCAAAGTTTTCTTTTTAGTCTCTTTTGTTCCTTTGCCTAAATATCATTGCCACATGAGTTCTCACATACTTATATTCTGTGGTTAGTACTTTGTTTTTTTTTTAACTTGTGACAAAATTCATATAACATTTTGCTCTGCATAGTAAGTACTTAGAAAAAATATATATATATAAATTTACATAACATAAAATTTACCATGTTAATTAATCATTTTCAGTTGTACACTTCAGTGGTATTAATGTGTTCACATTGTAGTACAACTATCACCACTATTCTCCTCCAGAACTATTTCATCTTTTCAAATTAAAACTCTGTGCCCATTCTTCCCCACCCTCATTTTCTGTCTCTATGAATTTGACTACACTAGCTAAGTACCTCACATAAATGGAATCATATGGTATTTGTCCTTTTGTGACTGGCTTATTTCACTTGGCATAATATCCTCAAGGTTCATCAATATTGTAGCAGAGAGTCCTTCCTTTTTAAGGCTCAGTAATATTCCAGTGTGTGTGTATATACACATATCACATTTTTTTATTTATCTGGGGTCAGTGAGCACTTGGGTTGCTCCTACCTTTTAGCTATTGTGCATAATGCTATTGTGAACATGGGTATACAAATATCTCTTCAAGAATCTGATTTTAGTTCTTTTGGGCATATACCTCGAAGTGGAATTGCTGGGTCATATGCTAATTCTATTTTTAATTTTTTGAGGGACCACCATGCTGTTTTCCATAGAGGCTGCACCATTTTATATACCCACCAATGGTGCACAAGGTTTCAGTTTCTCCACATATTCTCATTACTTTGTTTTACATATCCTTTATTTCTTTACTATAGATAAACATATGTGCATACAATTTGGAAATTAAATATACTTTTGAGGTAGTACTAACAATCAACATTTCCAAAAGTAATCCTAAAGTTCTATTTTTCTATACAAATCTAGAACCAATGACTGATTTCTGACTTTCTCTTATGTATGAAGTTAAAGGAACACAAAATTTTACTCCCCTGCCTCCTTGATTTTGTTATATATCATCAGCTATTAGGCTTCTAATTTTACCCTTTGAATTTTTTTTCTTTCAACTGTACATTTTGGCCATTGCATTGGTTTTTTTTTCCCACTAACTATATGATTTTGAATATGTTTAACTTGTCTTTGTACCTCACATCAGTCTTTTCTCCCAGCTATATAATTAAAATTTATAAAATAATTCAAACATACAAAATAATATGTATATAATATCTATGTTAGTTATAAAGCTTCACATCTATTTTCAAAATACATTTCAGATTTGGTTAATTATCTTTGTAAGTAATAGAAAATCCCCACACAGAAAAATGTAGCTTCTATATTTTTGTATTATATATTTAAGTCTGTATTTTGGAGGTGCTATTTTGCTGGCCAAAGGGGATGGAATAGATGTGGTTAAAAATAAATATAATGCTAAGTGAAGAAGCCAGACAGAAAAGACTACATATTACATGATTCCATTTTTATCAAATGTGCAGAAAAGGCAAATTTACAGAGATAGCAAGTAGATTAGTGGTTGCCTAGGGCTGGGTGTGGAGGCAGGAATTAATTATAAATGAGCATGGGAGAACTTTTGGGGGTGATGGAAATGTTCTAAAACTGAATCGTGATGTTTGCACAATTCTATACATTGTGCAAAAATCATTTAATTGTATACTTACCATGGATGAATTTAGAGAGATGTAAATTATACCTCACAAGCTGTTAAGAGTTAGAAAACCTAGAAATACTTGACTTCCATTTGGAGTAGCTATATTGAAAGAAGTAGTGATTTACAAAAATTACTTTGAAAATGTAACCCCATAAGGGTACACTTGGCTGTCAGTAGACCTGCTTCCCTTTCCACTCAACTTAAGCAACACCGTATGTGTTTTTCTTATAGCTTTTTCCACCAACGGATCCTGTGGGTACGTTGCTCCAAGTTCCAGAACAGATTTCTGCTCATCTACCTCAGCCAGCTGGGCAGATGCCTACACAGCCAACGCAAGTCTCTCTCCCACTCCCTGCAGAGCCAGGAAAAACAGCTCAGGTAAAGTGGGATGTGCTTTTAATGGACATCCTTGAGGCTAGATGAAAAAAGCAGATATTAACATGGAACACAACCTAATGTAATCAGGTTGATGTCTTTGTAGATTTTGAAACAAGTTAAAAATTCTATCTTTACAGTTTTTGTATGTGCAAATACAAGTTTTACAAGGATCACACAGGTTTTTAAGCAACAAAATAGGTTAATGATGGAAATATTCCAAACATCAAAAATTTTTGGCTAATTTCTTGTCAGCTCTGCATTAAATCATTATTACATGTAACTTCAGAGTGTATTAATAGCTAATAGAGTTTATATAGAAAATAAGAGAATTAGTGGCTGTACTATTTTATTTTTGCTCACTTAGGCTTGTATTATTTATTAATACTCTCTACTATCCATGGCTTTTTTTTATTACTCTTTTTAAGATGTTTGTCAATTATGTGAGAGTTGATCTATTTAACACCTAGGTATTGTAATCTGTAAACCAATTTAATCAGGCACATAGAAACTATTAAAATCATATTATGCTGAAAACAGCCAAGTGAATGAAGGCCCCACTGTGAGCCACTGCATGTTATGCAACTCACTCTCCTCTCAAGAATCCTCAGATGCTGAATGCAACATGTAACTTTATGCCACCTAGTTAGATAGAGTTAAGGCTTTTAGTGTCAGTTCACTTATTAAATATGAAATATCAGTTTCATTTTCTTTTGTAACATTTTAGATGAAAAATAGAAATTAAAGTTTTGGGTTTTTTTCTTTTGCATCCCAGTGGATCACCTCGTGTTCTGTCTCTGGAGATCACTGCTTTGAGCACTTCCAGTTAGTCATGGCACTGACTTCATTAATCTTTTCATCTCCTGAGCTTTTTAGTTCTGCCCATCATAAGGGAAAAGATAGAGTTGTCTTAAGAAAACTAATGGAAAGATTGGATTCATTTTATAAACAACTTAAATAGAATGTATGTCCTCCCATCAGCAAGGGATAGCTGTACAGTTTGCAGAGAGGATTAGTTTAGCCATAAAAAGATCCTAACCTATGGGTTGGATGGATTCCTGAAGGGCAGTTGGTTCAGGCCCTTCCGTTAGTGCCATATGGTACGCTGGCACATTTTTTAAAGTGAGAAACTTAGCTTCATGTTTTTCACCCTTGTAGAAGAGAGCAATGGTCTCAGAAATACAAAATGTAAATGTGGCTATATATGGCATTTCATCTGGGTTTGAGAATTATCTTCCTAATTGTGTTTGACTTAGGCTGACATTCAGCTTTTCTTTGCTGCTGTGGAGTACATGTCCTCCCACAGCACCACAACAGGGAATGTCCTAGCGATTAGGATGACCTCAGCTGGAGTTGAAGAAAATCACTGCCAAGTGGATGATTCCTCTGCAGATGACCATTAGTCACCTCCACACTTAATGTTCCAGGCAGTGACTTTATACCTTTCAATGCTTTTTAGGCTTTGTCTTCAGGAGCAGGTTCACAAGAAACCAAGATCCCAATCAGCTTAGTACTAAGATTAAGGTAAGTAGACAATTTTTGTTCTCTGAATATTCTGCATACACAAGAATAGTGTGTGCCTGAGAGTAATTGGACAGGATTGTGTGTTCTCCTAGGTTGTGTTATTTGGTTGCAGATGTATTATCTTCCTCAGAAATAATGGTAATAGCGTGAAGACCTGAATGTTAACAGGTGCTGTGACTGACTGATGCATGTATTGTCTTAGTTATTTCTACACTAATAATGATGAATTTGTGTATTTGAAGTATAGCTAGTTTGGGTTAGGAAGCATTTTCTGTAATTGAGGAACAGTTATTAGGGGAGCAGCATTAGCTGCCTTATCTGAAGATCAGTCTTATAATCGTGACCCTATAAGCACCATGGATTCTGAAATCAACTGACCCAAGAGTGGGAGGGACTTTTTGATTGTGATAGAGCAAGTAAAGGCCTTGTTCTTAAAAGTTAAAAAGAAGACTTCTAAATGTACTTTTAGTCTATTTCTCTGTTTTACAGCAAGTATTCTAAATTGGTGGTTCTTGGTGGGGACATATAATGAGGTCCTGACAGCTTGCCCACTAGGTAGCAATCTGTTCATTTTAACCCCCTGCCTCTGCCAGTAGTTGGATTAGGATTCCAGTGCTTTCTTGTCAGAATAGCTATGGCTGTTGTATTGCTCTAATGAGATTTCTTTCTACTCATAAATGCATTTGGGAAAAAAATTAATATTAAAGTGTTACCTGAGAGAGCTGAGGCCTGTTTAATGTGTTACTAACATTTTAAAAAAGAATTACACTAAATTATCATGGACTCATCTCCCTTCCACATGTGAATTCCTAGTCATCATCTCAGTAAGGTTGTCTTTAGAGATAGAAGCAGCAAAAGCTGTTTGGAGAGTGTTTTTATCTTACCACTAGGAGCAATGAAATTATGCCATAAATATGAAGAAAGCAGATTGAGTTACCTTTCCTTTACAGAAGCCTATTCAATATACCTGATCCCATCTCAAATTGTTCTGAATTAATAGGATGTCTTGGTAATCTTGTGCCATTTTAATTATACATGAAGAATACCACTTGTCTCTATAAAAACATGGTTTTGAGGTCTTATAGCAGTTAATATACAGTACAAAAATTCTATTTGATGTGTGCCTCAGGAAGATGGAAAAGATACTTTTAGGTGATGTAGTTAAATCACCACTTTTCTTAAAGTGGTGATTTAATGAACTGTGTTACAGACTGTTTATGGAAATAGAGGCTGGATTCTTATTCTCAATGATGAAGATTTTAAAGTTAAATGACCAGAAGAGATGATAAGAAACACATGTAATTTACTTTATCATGTTGTTGTCTTTGAAGGTATTTGTGCCTGGTGTGCCAATCACTAAACTTATACCAAACATTTTGATCTGAATTTTATTCATCTTTCAGGAAGAATAGATTGAACAGTATGTATTAAGCACAGACAATGTAGACCACTCTTAGATGCTGTAGTAGGATACTGAGAAAAGAGAAAATTTAATAACTCCCTTGGTAATCAAGTCAAGGTTGGAAGTTGATTTGTAAATTTCAAAAGCAAATTTCAGGTAGTATATATGCAGAAATGTAAGTCTGTACATACCAGTGTAGAGAGAGGGCAATGCAAGGGAAAATCCTTCAGGGGCAGGTTGTATATGAGATAGTTCTATTTGAAGCACAATTTCAGTAACATCCTCAAGTATATTATTTGTCAAATAGATCTAAGCCTTCTACATTGTTTAGATAAAATGAATTTAGGTTCTAAATAATCAGGCACGTCTGCCTTTAGATATAATGTTCTAATTTTACCTGGTTAATCGCATTACATAGTCTGGTAATCACTATAACTGTACCTTACAGTTATATTTGGATTTCTGGAATCATATGTTAACTCTGCTACCAGTATGAGCCAATTCCTCTACCCATCTTTTCTGCCCACCTAATTCTTGCCTATCCACTAAGTCCTATCTAAAAACTGCCTCTAAAGTTTTTCCTCATTATCCCAATTTCATGTATTTTCATCTGAACTCCTGTGGAATTTGAGGGAGTATCATATATTTCATTTTATGAGTCTGCTGAGACTGCTCACCAGTGCTAGGCAAGGTGCTCTTCTACACACAGTGGGCATGTGGGAGTGGGGTTAAGGACGAAAAAGGCATCCAGTGTCATTTTTAATCACACCTCCCTGTGCTCATACAGATTTTCCTCTTAGTTTGATATGCTCACTCATCTTAGTGGGAAGAAGGATGGGAGTGGGCATATAATAAGAATCTCTTCAAAGGTATGAAATATTTATATCGATCAAAGAGGGACATAGATTAAAAGGGTTGTAGAACAATTAGATTCTGAGTTTTTTGCTCTGAGCCCTGCAGCATGAACACATCAGGATAAATCCTATGATCTGTGGGATCAGAATAATCTTTCTTGAGGCACAGCTTTCCTAATATATGTTGGCAGAATCTCTATGCATAAATTCAGAAATTCTTATTTTTCACATTCTGCTTTCTTTCATAGGAATTCAAAGAAAGAACTAAATGATATTCGATTTGAATTTACTCCTGGGAGAGGTAAGGCATCAAAAAGATTGAAAACAAAATAACTTCTGATTTGTTATTTAACAAAATGTTTTTGTCGTTTACATGCGTTTTGGCTTTTAAAGGATGATAAAACTTTTTCTGGTTTTGGGGAACATATGAATAATATAAAATATAATAATAAAAAATAATATAAAAATGCTATTTTTTTCCTACTAAACTCATTTAGAAAACCTTATATAATGCAATAATGAATGTAGCTCCTATTTACTCCCTACTATAGGCCAGTCATTATGCTAAGTATTATCTCATTAAATTCTCACTAGACACCCCTAAGGAAAAATTATTATCCCCATATGGGAGATGATGAAATCAACACTTAGAGGTAAAGCAATCTCTTCAAGGTCACACAGCTGGATAGAGGTATAGCTGGAATTCAAACCAGATCTGTCAGAGTCCAGAGTTCTTGCTTTTATCAATGTACATGCGTGCCCTCCATGGTAGTAAAGAAGAAACAAGGCCTACATTCTCCTCTCTCCTCACACAGCAGCTGAGCCCTGTCATGCCCTGTTTGTGAACTTCTATGAACTTCACCTTGGAACAAGGCTTGTTTTCTTTCTTGCCTTTATTACTCGTGATTCAGATGTGGGGAGTAGCCAGCAGCCAGCAAATATCTCTCCTGTATATCACACTTACTTTTCTGCTATCTCAGTATCATTAGCAACTAACCATTAAAGAAAACCAGATGGGCCGGGCATGGTGGCTCACGCCTGTAATCCTAGCACTCTGGGAGGCCGAGGCAGGAGGATCGCTTAAGGTCAGGAGTTCAAGACCAGCTTAAGCAAGAGCAAGACCCCGTCTCTACTAAAAATAGAAAGAAATTATCAGGAAAACTAAAAATATATATAGAAAAAAGAAATTAGCTGGGCATGGTAGCACATGCCTGTAGTCTTAGCTACTCGGGAGCCTGAGGCAGAAGGATTGCTTGAGCCCAGGAATTTGAGGTTGCTGTGAGCTAGTCTGACACCATGGCACTCTAGCCCGGGCAATAGAGCAAGACTCTGTCTCAAGAAAAAAAAAGAAAGAAAGAAAACAGATGCAATTACACAGAAGTGTATCTGTTTTACTTTGTTAAAGTCAGGGAAAGCCACATTTTCAGGAATTAATTCAAATTGCTGGTCATCTACATGAGTGTGTGCACACCCGCTCCTCAGCAGTCCTCCCGTTCCCTCTGACAAGCACAGTGTTGAGAACCAGCACCACTGAGTTGGTTGGTGATGAGGTTAATTGGGGATATTCTGTCCTTATCTTCTTAGTTTCAGTTATACCCATTGCTCAGATTGTACCACCTGAGAAAATTAAGTAAGAAGAAAAGCCCACCAGAATGAAAAAGGGAAGTGACTTTAATAAAAATTTGGAGTATGACTCCCAAAGAGAAGAGATTGCAACTTGTTCTCTCAAGTTTTAATTGAGAATAAATTATTCTGTTTTATTAGCTTAAGAAATGTTCCACGTTCAACATCATATCTCAGAGCACAGAGAGCTGAGGTCCAGGGTTGTGCTTGAAAATAGGAATTTCTTGTGTAGCATCACTGTTGGGTGTTTTTCTGACACAGGTCTGAACCCATCTAAATGATATCATTGAGAAAGTTATCTTTACATTGAGCTGATGTTTGCCACCGGGTTCACATGGATTCTGCCCTCTAACTAGATCTGTGAGAGTTCCTCACTTGAAATAATCCCAGTCGTAGGAAAAATCCTTTTGTGGGAGGACACCGCCTGCCTTCTTGGTTCTGTGGATTTTGCAGTTAGATTGGGCCTGACAGTGCTGACACCCAGGCTGGCTCTAAGAGCTAACAGTGACATGCATGCACAAAAACTGAAGCACTTTGTTCTTTGTCCTTGCAGATACAGCAGAGGGTGTCTCTCAGGAACTCATTTCTGCTGGCCTGGTTGATGGAAGGGATTTAGTAATAGGTAACTACATTGTGCTCTGCCACTGTACCCCTGTGTCTGTCTATATACTTAGTTTCTAGAAAAGCAGGTTTTTACTCCACTAAATAGGTTGAATCGTGAATCTTGAAATGGTTGAATCGTGAATCTTGAAATGGTTCTTGGCTTTGCTGAAATTATGGGTATTGGGAACATTTCTTTACCAAAAATTTTTAAAATTTCACTTTCGAGTTTGCTTTGTGACCTCCAGTGATAGTAAATGAAAGCATGCCCAGGCCTTTAGGAGACTAAATAGAAATGATGACAAAAGTCACAAGTTAAAGTACACTATTCCATATCTAATCCATTTTGTCTATCTAATCTTTATGGCTCAGAGGTGAGCAAAACTCATTTAGAGATTTAGTCCTAGAAAAAGCAGTAAGAAAGGGAGAAGGCACAGTCAGGCCACAGGTACATATCACAGAAGGAAAAGACCATTGTCAAGGGCAGGTGCGCCCTAGACACAGTGTCATGTGAAAGGCCAGATAGTAGTTTAGGCTTTGTGGGCCTTGTACAGTGTCTGTCATTTTTAAACCATTCTTAGCTCATAGGCAGAACAAAAACTGCTATAGTTGACTCCTGGTCTGGGGCTTTCTGATCCATAAGTAAACAAATCAGACTTCTTTCACCCAATTGTCTTTCCTAGGTTAATATAACATTTAAAGAAAGTTAATTTGACAATGATTCAAGATTTACTTGTACTACTTAGAGATAAGTTTAAAAGATACTTTCATTTGAGTAGTGATTATTTGATCTTTCTGCTTCCATTTTGATTGTATGTAGAATATTCTTAACTGCCATTTAAGCTTTTAAAATATGGTTGAAAGTGGATTTATGTAGCTTTTCATTCATTACTTTCTCTGTTTTGTATGATTACAGTGGCAGCTAATTTGCAGAAAATTGTGGAGGAACCTCAGTCAAATCGATCTGTCACTTTCAAACTGGTATTCATCCCCTTTTCCTTATTAAAACATCTTACCTTTTACACACCAGCACCCTCTGCAGACCAGCTTTTATATTCCCTGAGTGATGAGAATATTAAAATATGGTGGGTGGATTGTGCTCATTCAGCCTCCCCAAGGCCCTGGGCCTGATGTCTTCCTTTGAGTGGCCTCCAGTCCTCTCTCCCTCTCAGGAAACCTCTGACCCCAAACCCATGACTACTCTCAAGGTAAATTATTGGCCAATCTTACTGTAGCTGTGTACCCAGACCCATTGTTTCCTGGAAGAAATAACTGTTGCCCACTGTCCCATGTCAGTTTTATTTGCTACGTGCACTTTTGTTTTTCTGAATAGCCACAGCTTCTCATTTTGTTTGGTTCTTAGGCATCTGGTGTTGAAGGCTCGGATATTCCTGATGATGGTAAACTAATAGGATTTGCCCAGCTCAGCATCAGCTAAACCACAGCCCTGGAAGAGGCGGCCTAAGGAGATTCCACACATGCACATCTCTGTTGCTTCTATTGGTCTAAACCCACTACTGCCAAAGAACCCGGCAACAAATCTCCCGGCTAGGAGCTTTAGAGGTCTTTCTTTATGTTCTTCCTGCCGTCATTCCTCCTTTTTCCTACAGGGAAAGAAAAGTTGGATCACCAGTGGCCAGCATCCCCTTAAAGAGTTCCGTTAGTAGACTTACTCCATATGTCCCATATCTTCCTCCATCTGAGAAGTGGCCCATGTGCCTCAAGTCCCAGGAGGGAGATCTGTCAGCTCATTCTTGCCTTACTCCAATGATGGCCCAAGTGGAAAGTAGCGCTATATTGGGCTTCCTCATCCTGCCTGTTCTCCCACACCTGCCAGGATGTGGGCATCTAGGGATATCTCTGTACCACTGAAGTAGCAATTGAAAGTTGATTGTTCAGCTGGAGCCCAGAGAATTTAATTTAGTGGTTTTTTTTTTTTTTTCCTTTGAACCTGATGTGAATTCTAGCAACCTTTGTTAGGAAAAAGCACAGCCTCAGATGGAGGCAGCCTAAACTGTGTTCTTGTTTTGTTCGTGGTATTTCTAAGCATTTTGCTGAAGCTGCTCTCAGGCACCCGGTTCTTCATTGCTCCCTCCAGAAAGGGTTGCTAGCCTTAACTTCAGCTGGTGCAAAACATCTGACTGTAGCCAAACTTCAGCCATTGGATCCTTCAACACGGAACTTAGCACTGTTATTAGAGAAAACATCAAGTAATGGCTCATAAAAGTTTTTTTTGCCAGAGGTGGTTTTTGAACAGGAATCATAATTCAAATTAAATTAAAGCAAAACTCCTTGATCCTCCCATGAAAATCAAGTTACCTGGCCTCCAAGTCACGAGGAAATGGGTGTGCAAGGCTGAAATTTCTACAGCAATAAAGGAGACTCACAATCAGCCAGAGAGGCCTGCCTTCTGTCCCCTCTCCTGCACTGACCCTTTGGAGGGGGTCCCTGTGTGCTGAAGCTGACTCAAGACGGAAAGTGAAACCACATGTGCCGTGACCTTTAGGTTTTATGAGTAGACAGTGTTCATTTGATTTTCTACAGAAATAATATAAATTATTCTTTTGGTTTATAAAAGAGCACTCATAATGCAATATGTGAATAATCAGTGCGGTTGACTTTTCTTTTTTCCTACTGTTTCATAGTCAGCCTTTGTCTAACTGCTAATAATCCTACTAAGTTTTATATATGAATGGAATACTCAATCTGGCCTTAAAAAAACACACAAAGGTAGGTTGTGGGCCCTGGAAAGGTTAGGGTTGCCTTTTATAGAATCACTCAAGCCCTTTCCAGCATTATTGGTCTGATGAACAAGATTGCTTTACCTAATTTTCTCCTGGAACGTATCTGAAAGCTTTCCCCATAACTAACTTGTCACACCTTTTGTTTCATTCTGAGTCTGTAGTTTTAGTCATAGGTTTTCTTCACCTGCCCTGGGTGAGGAAACATTTGGGAAAGGGATGGATGTTGGGTAGGAAGAGGTGGGGGATGGATTTCAAATGAGGGTTGAGAGGAGAGTAGATTAGAAGACCAGACATCAAAGGTCAAGGTCCCAGCAGACTTGGTAAAAGGTGAGAGCCTGTTGAACTGGGAGGAAGAAAGGAAGATTAACCAGCTTGCTAGAAAAATCTTTAGCTTTTCTTTTTCTCTTTTTTTATTTGGCTGGGGGGGGGGAGTAGGCATAGTGGGGGGAAGCAAGGACAGGGAGGTGGGAATGAGGTATGGAAAAGAGATAGTGTCCTTTTGACACACAAATAGTGGCTTACCTTAGAGTCTGGTTTTTGTTTGTTTGTTTGTTTCAAACAAACCCATCATAATCTACTTATTTATGAATCCAAGGGGTAGTGGCATCACTCTTACAGCTTTCTACGTGGAGGTGGTCTGGCACCCAGCTGGCAGTGAGCAGCAGCCCATCCCCCGGTTCACTTTCTCCAGCCTGCCATTACCTTCGAACTGCAGTGGGGTAGGCATAGGCATGACAAATAGAAGTGGGCTGGGGCTTCCTTTTTCTTTTCAGTTTATTGTTTGCCCTGCTGGGAACTAGAAGACAGATAACAAGTCCCAGGACAGTGTTATTTCTTCTTCTGCATCATGTGTGGTGGACTCCCTTTGCTGGCTTGTGCAGTGATGCTGAGAAAATAAGTGAACAGAAACTACCCAGGTGGGACAGCACATAGCCTGGTGAGCGACCTCATTCCATTCCAGGAGTGGTGGTTTAGGGTTCACCTTTGTTGCTAGGTCCCCGGGATCCCCTTGTCCCTGGAGTAGGGACTCACTATAGCACAAAGTAATATGTGCCAATGCTATTTGTGAAATGTTTGGTTTTTCTAAATGACTAATGGATTTGTTTGGGGTTTTTGCTTACGTTTTGAACCAAATTCTAGAGCCAGCTGATACTATTTAATAATCTGGAAGATAGAATAATGATGTATCAATAAATGGAGATTCCTCCTTATGACATATGCTAGATTATGGAAGATGTAAAATATTCAACTTTTTCTTCCTTTTTTTGGACTTTGTATTTTACTGCATGTTTCTTTCATTTTTAATCAATAAAGAATAAATTGTCCTTAGTAGTATATGGATGCTTTATTTTAGTGGCTGTTGGTGAGGAGCTGTGGGTTGTGGGTCAAGGAATCAGTACTGGCCAGGCGTGGTGGCTCACGCCTGTAATCTTGGCACTCTGGGAGGCCGAGGCAGGAGGATTGCTCAAGGTCAGGAGTTCGAAACCAGCCTGAGCAAGAGCTAGATCCCGTCTCTACTAAAAATAAAAAGAAATTAATTGGCCAACTAAAAATATATAGAAAAAATTGGCTGGGCATGGTGGTACATGGCTGTAGTCCCAGCTACTTGGGAGGCTGAGGCAGAAGGATTGCTTGAGCCCAGGAGTTTGAGGTTGCTGTGAGCTGGGCTAACACCATGACACTCTAGCCCGGGCAATGGAGTGAGACTCTGTCTCAAAAAAAACAAACAAAAAAAAAGAATCAGTACTAACTTTAATTTTTCATGTGCATAGAAGCCAAAGTACATATAAACTATAAAATGTGTTTATTGATCTGCAGATTATCTAGAACAGCTTAAAATCATTGTATAGTTGGATAAACTGAAACCCTAAAAGAGGGATACAAGGTAATCCCAAGGAAATTTTTATAGGGTAGGATGTATGGCTTCTATCTTTCCTAAATTTTTGGTTCTGCTCATGCTGGTGGGCAAGTGAAGGAAGCCAGATTCAAGCCCTTGGAAGTCCATTTTTTGAAAGTTCACAGCAGGGGGCGCTGCAGCTGCGCCGGCCGCGGCCTCCCCTCCCTGAGGGCCCTGCGGGAGAGGGTGGGCTGCCGCCCCCGCCTGGCCCTGACCCCGGCTGCCCCTCCCAGCACCTTACCCAGCAGCTCAAATTCACCACCTCGGACTCCTGCGACCGCATCAAAGACGAATTTCAGCTGCTGCAGGCGCGATATCACAGCCTGAAGCTGGAGTGTGACAAGTTGGCCAGCGAGAAGTCGGAGATGCAGCGTCACTATGTGATGTACTAGGAGATGTCCTATGGCTTGAACATTGAGATGCACAAGCAGGCTGAGATCGTCAAGAGGCTGAACGGGATTTGTGCCCAGGTCCTGCCCTACCTGCCCCAGGGGCACCAGCAGCAGGTCTTAGGCGCCATCGAGCGGGCCGAGCAGGTGACGGCTCCTGAGCTCAACTCCATCATCCGACAGCGGCTCCAGCTATCGCAGCTGTGGGCTCTGGCCCTGCCCCTGACGCCCCTGCCGTGGGGCTGCAGCCGCCCTCGCTGCGGGTGGCGAGCGCGGGCACCGGCCTGCTCTTGCTGTCCGCGCTGGGATCGCAGGCTCACCTCTCCAAGGAAGACAAGAACGGGCCGACGGCGACGCCCACCAGGAGGATGACAGCAAGAAGTCGCATTAGCAGGCGTTGGGGACGGGGAGGGTCTGGAGGTGGGGGGACAGAGGGGACACCGAGGCCCGGAGAGAAAGGCATGTTTAGCGCGAGACGCAGCGTAGCTCGGGACTGGCTCCACTCTGTAGTGTTTATCGTGGCCGCCCGCCGGGGCCCTGGCCCTGCTCTGGTGCCACCTCCTCGCTTTGTTCCTGTCCCCGGGTCCCGGCCTCTTCCCTCCTGCTCCCCTGCAGCCCGATAGGGGAATGGGTACCTGCTCGTGACACAGATGAGGCAAGCTAAGGCCTGGAGGGGCACATGGGGGAGACCAGGTCAGAAAGGAGCAAAACCTAAAGAAATCCAGCACCCCCAGCACTTCCCTGTTCCCAACACGTGTAACCGACAGTCCTCCCGCTGGGCCCTAGGGCACACGCCACAGCTCCCGCCCTGGCACTGCATGCAAACAATGCTAGCTGTCCCTCCCTGTCCTGGGCACCCGGAGTGTCCTCCCTGGGTCCCAGACCTCTCCCACCTCCACCGCCACCTCCTGCCCCGCTCACCACCTCCGCTAGTTCCAGACACCCCCTGCCCACCGGTCCCCTCCCCTCGCCCATGAAAGAGGCGGGACAAGCTTAGCTGGGACAAGCCGGGTGAGGGCAGGTGACCCAAGGACTTCTCTCCTTCCCAAATAAAGATGAGGGTACTAAAAAATACCAAAGTTCACAGCAGAGCTGAACTTGTCCCTTTGATACTGCAATGGTGGGGTTTCAGGTAAGATTCTAGGTTCTAGGCTCCTCTGTACTTTTGTCATCCTCCTCCTGGATGAGTAATCTGCTTCCTCATTATCTTTCCCAATAGCAATGGCCTTGGGTCCATGATAGGACTCGATCTGGGTCCTGGTGTTTCAGAGTTCAGGGCTGTGGAGCCTTGGAGTTGACAATGCCGTGTGGCAGCTGGTTGAGTTTGCTTTCAAGATAAGCAGGTTATAAATGTGAACTCTGACTATTGTGGGGACACGGAGGAGGTGCTGGTTAATTAAAAGTGACTGTGGTTTATGTGGAGGGAAGTGGGCAGGCTCAAGAATAAATCGAGCCTCTCTACTTAACCATTCTTTCTAACAAGATCAGATGAGATCAAGAGGCTTGGTTCCTTAGCTTTACTTACTGTATAGCAGCAATACTCAGTACAACGGTTCAGGGATTCCTCCTTTGGGTCAGTCATCTAGCCCAAGTTTTTGTGTGTTTGTGTGTGTGTGTTTTTAAGAAACTTCAGAGTATTTTTAGTTTTACACAAAATTGAGTAGGAAGTACAGAGTTCCTGTATATCTCCTGACCTATCCATGAACAGCCTCCTCTGCTGTCAACATTCGCTATCAGAGTGGTGCATTTGATAAGATTGATGAAACTGCATCTTTATCACCCAAAGTCTGTAGTTTACACGAGGGTTCACTCTTGGTGTCATATACATTCTATAGGTTTTGACAAATGTATAATGACATGTGTCCCCACTTGTAGTATCATACAGAATAATTTTCACTGCCCTAAAAATCCTGTGTGCTGCCTCTTCATCCTTCCCTCCCCCACTGCCCCCTGGGAAACATTGATCTTTTTACTATCTTTCACTTTTTACAAAATGTCATATAGTTAGAATCATATAGTATGTAGCTTTTTCAGATTGACTTCTTTTACTTAGTAATATGCATTTAAGTTTCCTCAATTTTTTTCATAGCTTGATAGTTCATTTCTTTTTAGCAGGGAATAATGTTCCATTTTCTGTACCATAGTTTACCCATACTCCTACTAGAGAACATCTTGATTGCTTCCAAGATTTGGCAATTATGAATAAAACTGCTATAAACATTTGTGTGTAGGTTTCTGTGTGGACAGAAGTTTCGACTCATTTGGGTAAATACCAAGGAGTGCAATTACTGGATCATATGGTAAGAGTATGTTTAGTTTTATAAGAAACTGCCAATCTTGTCCATAGTGGCTGTACCATTTTCATTCCCACCAGCAATGAATAAGATTTCCCGCTGTTCCACAGGAGCAACTGGTGTTACTGGTATTATGGATTTGGACATTCTAGTAGGTGTGCAGTGGCATGTCGTTTTAATTTGGAATTCCCTAATGACATATGATGTCCATCTTTTCATATGCTTATTTACTATATCTTCTTTGGTGAGGTATGTGTGTTCATGTTTTTGTCCCTTTTGTCCCTGCCAGATTTTAACTTTTGATTTTGAAATAATCTCAGACTTACAAAAAAGTTGCAAAAGTGGTACAAAGAATTTCCGTGTATCTGTCCCCAGATTCCCCAGATGTTAACATCTTCCATGACTACATACAATTATCAAAACCAGGAAATTAACATTCATAGTATATATTATTGACTAATCCCTAAACCTTATTGTCAGTTGCCCAACCACTACTTTCTTTCTGGTCCTAAGATTGAATCCCATATTGTATTTGGTTGTTACAATTTCTTAGTCTCCTCCAACCTGGGACAACTCCTCGTCTGTCTGTATTTCTTGTAGCCTTGACACTTTTGAACAGTAATGGTTAGTTATTTTGCAGAATGCCTCTTAATTTGGGTTTGTCTGATATTTTCTCATGATTAAATTCAGGTTATAGACTGAGTGAGGTGGCTGGAGCCTATAATCCCAACACTTTGAGAGGCCAAGGCGGGAGGATCACTTGAGTCCAGGACTTCAAGACCAGCCTAGGCAGTATAGCGAGACCTCGTGTCTGCAAAAACCTTAAACATAAGCCAGGCATGGTGATGCGTGCCTGTAGTCCCAGCTACTCAGGAGGCTGAAGTGGGAAGATTGCTAGAGCCCAGGGGTTTGAGGCTGCAGTGAACTATGTTTATGCCACTGCCCTCCAGCCTTGGTGACAGAGAAAGACCTCATCTCTAAAATAAAGAAAAGAAAAAAAATTCAGGTTGTGCCTTTTGAGGAAGAAAACCACAAAATTGATGCCAGGCTGTTTGCTGTACCGTCAAGAGGCACGTGATGTAAATATATCTCATTGCTGGTTAGGTTAACTTGAATCACTTGCTTAAGGGGTGTCTACTTGGTTTCTCCACTGTAAAGTTACTATTTTTTTCCTGTGGTAATTATTGTTTTATGGGGAGATGGTTTGAGACTGTGTAAGTCTCCTATTACTCATACTTTGCCCACTGATCTTAGTATCCTTCGATGATTCTTGCCTAACACAGTTATTACTGTGATATTTACCAAATGGTGATTTTCTATTTCCATCTTTTCTTCTATATTTATTAATTGGAATTCTGTGAGGAAGAGTTTTCCTTTCCCCCTCACTATGTATGAGTTCAATTATTTATTTATATAAGCATAGACTGGCCAAACAGAGTGTGTTGTCATACTTTTTAATTTTTTGCTGGGCTGCTAGGGGAGAAATGATATCCTGGTGTTGGTTTAATCTGATTTCTCTAATTGTAGTGATGTTGGAAGGTTAAAGGGGCATTTATAGATAATAGACTTATGCCTATTTTTAAATCAGGTTCTTTTATTACAGTTTTAAGAGTTCTATGTACATTTTTGATAACAGTCCTTTATCAGATATGTCCTTTGCAAATATTTTCTGTCTGTGGCTCATCTTCTCATCCTCTTAGCAGTGTCTTTCAAAGAACAAAAGTGTTTAATTTTAATGATGTCCAGCTT